TTACGATGAAATTAGTCATGTTTTGTACAATCAACATGATCTTAATGTTCTTTATGAAAAATATATGTCTTCAATGGAAGTTACCAGTTTAGAGCCCTTAGGGAAATGTAAATTAGAGAAAATGAGTACTTATAATGGAATATTGCAACATATTCCAAACGAATCAATTAATATTCCTATCATATTTGATAGTATTATTGCACAAATATCTAAATTATTTGGGGAAGACAGTGGGTATGAAGATGTGTTAGCCAAGCATAGGGATAAAAAGACACAACAAAAACATAAAGGTTTACTCACAAATTTAAAAGAACTCAACTTAATCCATGATGTGTTAACAATAAAAGATAATTCACATGATTATAAACCAAGAACAATTCTCTATGGTGATAATGCTAGGCTAAAAAGTTATTACCTAGGAGAAACAGCCAAATTTATTACTCAGAAAACGTTTCGTGTATTAAGTTTACAATACAAAAATCTATTTCGGCATACTAAAAAAAACATAACAGAAGATTATAGAAAAAAACATATGCATGTGTTTAGAAATGCAATAGGTATTAGGGACAGAAAAAAATTATCTGAACTACTTATATTATTAGCAATTATTGATAGAAATCCTTTTGGTCCCAACTTTCATCCAAATAATCACACAACAGAGAGTAAAGATGAATCCACAGATTTTAATACCCAATATTTGATAGAGGATGTCTTGAATAGTATAAATAGAACCAAAATTAATCAGAATCATACATTAATACAAAATTTAAATTCAACTGAAGAAATGCATCCTGAAGTTTCAGTTCAAACTTTACATAATATGTCCATGACACATAATACTACTGAAACAAAATATATACCTCTGCTTGATGGGTATTTGTATAAATTCTACAACTGTCCAAAAAACTATTATAAAACATGTGTAATGCAAACACCCATCACGTTACGTGACTTTGTTAAATATTCTTTGCCTGAGGAAAAGGAATGGGTAAATCTTTCATTAATAGAATTTCAAAAAAATAATGTTCCTAAAACATTTCCATCAGAACTTCATTTACTGAAAAATGAAATCATCGACCCTATTGAACCTCCCGTAAACATCACTCCCATTCTTTCAGTTGATTCCAGTTCATTTGGGATTCCAGTGAGATCTCCAAATAAAGATGAGGAACTGTCAGTGAGTTCAAATGAATGGGAGGAAGAAGAAAAATATCCAAAAGATGATAGGTCAAAAAAAACAATTACACACGAAACTAAAGATATTAAGCATAAACAAACCGTTTCTAAAATTTATAATGTCGGGCCTGGAAAAAGGCTACAATTCTATTCAAGAACTATAGAGGCTATGTTCAGACATGGAACAAAAATAAGAATATACTTTCACCACCAGCTATATGAGAAGAAAATGATAAATTTGGAACTGCAAATATCAGGTCATAGGGTATATTACAATACTAGTTTAAATGTAAATGAAGATCCAATCAAATTTCTAATTTACCACAGATCAGGAATAATACTTTCTTTTCAACAAAAGGAATATAAGAAATACACAGCAAGATTCACAAAGTTTACCAAACCAGATGATTACAGTGACTCAGAAGAAGATACTGTAGACTATACAGATAAGGATTCAGAACATGAAAAAGAAAAAAAATCTGAGATAAAAGAAAAATATAGTAGTATAATACATGAAAATGATTCCATCAGAATTGAAAAACGAGAAGAATTTGAGAGATGCCAAATCAAATCTTCACCTCATCCTTTTATCAATAGGCTGAGTACATTTTCTTTTTCAGCATCATGGCCATCAGGTTATTTCATGGAATGCAATACACTTCCAAATACAAAAACAGTCTACATAAAACACAGATATTTAATGAAAGGTCCAAGTTGTAAATTAATCGAAAATGAGTCATATCGATTAAACCTACCTAATAATAATGTCATTAAGTTTTTAAGCAACAAAACATTTGAAATCTTGTTTCCAACGGGGAAAAAAATCATATGTCAGAAATATTTTTGGAGGAAAACTAAAACACAAAAGATAGAAATTCGCACAAAGTCGATTTATGAGAAAGTAAAAAGAGAAATTGTGCCAATTATATACAAAATTTTTCATACAGATGGAAGAGTAGAATCATTTATAGATGGAAAAAAAGAATCAGAAACAAAAATAAATATAAGAAATAGTACTGATATTTTAAATGATTTCAAAGTGAGTGAAATAACCAACGGAACAACAATTATACAGAAAAACGATGCTTCCCAAGTTGTGGAATTCAATGACGGCACAAGATTTACAACAGTCGTACAAATAAGTCCAGAGGAAATATTCTGTGATTGGTCTTTAGAGGAAAAACTGAGATGGTTTCAAGGATTTTCAGATTTCATGATTATCACTGATGTTTCAGATATAGAGCATTCAGCTCAAGAAGAAGTAAAAAACACATCATTGAAGAAAGGTATACTAGAAAAAGAAGGTTACATAGATATAACTAAAACAGTATTCATCGAACATCCAAATTTTGCTACAACTTACAACTGTACTGAAACTAAATCAACAATCATTAGATTTCCTATGAGCACAACAATATATTTATATTCAAATGGAACTTATGATATAAAATTTGCGAATGGGATAAGCATTGCTATTAAAAAGGACAGGTTTATAATAGACAAGTTTCTTAATAATTCACTTTTTCAGCATACCGTAATAATGCCCCATGCATTAAAATTTAACGATATTCCAGACCCACCACTTATCCAATTTTTGACAAGTGATATTCATGGAAATGAACTTAAAATTGACACAACTAATTTTCTTCATTACCGATATGCTGTGTCTGAAAAAAATAAATTTTGTTTAAAACATCTAACAGATAATGTAAATTATTTTTTCCTTCGACGAGATTTGAGTGGGATGGAAATCTTTCCACATTGTCGATTAGCAAAAATAAAAGAAGTAAACAGAAAAATCAACGATTCATTTGTACAAGAATTTTGGAATACACCATTTAAAGATGCAATTTTCTTATCACCAACAGAAATTGCATCTGAAGAATGGATTATGCCGTATTCAGCACCAATAACATCAGTGTTTCAGAATGTTCCTTCAACATATGGAAATTCATGGGTTTTTCCTTTTTTAACAAAACAGAGATCTTACTTAAATACACCAAAAACGTTAACTATGAGAGTAATTAAAACATTTGTTTGTGAGAATGTTCATAAAAAAATAGTAGAACTTATAGAAGAGTATAAAAATAGAATCAGCAAGGAAATTCATCATCCAAAATGTAAGTGTCATAAAGTTAGACCTTGGGAACACATTTCTTTTGATAATGTGCAAGATATAGCTTTGATACTATACAAGCATGGAAATATAATAATAAAGACTCCAGACCAAAGTTTCATAAATTATGTGAAAGAGTACATAGTTCTTCATGCAGCTCGAGTTGCGATAAAAGAAAGAAAAATTTCTAAAATAGTTGAAAGATATCAAAAACAAAGATCAGCTATTCTGAAAAAGCAAATTCCTCCTTACTTTGGGAGCTGCTTTGGTATCGCTTATCTTTTAACAAAAGAAATCAGAGATAAGACTAATAAGGCAATAGAAGAAATGGAATACTCTTCCATTTTAGATGCTTTATTAAACAAAAAGATCAATGAAGTGACTGAAAACGATATTCAAGACATTACTAGACTTCTTAAAATGTTGAAGTCTGACATATGGAATGATGAAGATTCAGTGCAGCACATCTTAAACACTGGAAAAGAACTTCAAGATAGCTTTAGTAATATGAGAGAAGTTTTGAAATATCATCTTGGAGCAAAGGATACAAAAAAACCTTGATTGAATGAAAACAATAAATATTGGTGAAAATATTATTAAAATAATAAATATTTATACTTATAGTTATTTTAATAAAAGGTGAATTTAATACTAAGAAATATAGTTTTCATCAACCTACGCTGTACATAATATTGTAGTGTAGACCCCTTTTCTGGCCTTCAGGAGGATTTTGATGGATGGTGTATCAAATGAAAGGAAATTAAGATAGAGAAATGACACAGCCTAATTTCAAAACTTAAAACCTTACTACAATAACAACAAAAGTAATTAACAAAATTAAGAGGTTTCAAAACAGATTTTTTCAAAAAGTCAAAGGATCCAGTTAGAAAAAAATGTTCTTTCAGCATTTAGTTGTGCATGTAGTTAGTTAGTTATCTAATCATGCAGTACAACTCAAGCATTATGCAACCTATGGCAGATTACACCCATATTCACTGTTACCAAATTCCCTACAGAATAAAAAAATAAAATTCTATGAAATCTGACCAGTATTTACAACGATACAGTATATTATGAATGAAGTATTGTAAATGACCGAGAAAAAAAAATCTAGAAACATCTTGTATACATCAAACACTTATTTCTGCAAATATTCATGACTTGTGATTGACATGAATATTCACTTGTTATTTGACAATATACATGTATGTATATATGACAATATATTAAAACATAAGTTATGATAGATGTAGTTTTGAATAGTTGAAGATAAAATAGATAAGTAATAAATATGTTTGAAGAAAATTTAATGTTCCACAACTACGACTATATGTTTTAGAAGTAAAACTTGAGAATAGAGAGAAAATCAAATTGTTGTTATATTGAGATTAAGAGCTATTTAATAATTAAAATTACAAAAGTTAAGTTTGGAATTTAAACATAAGTTATGATTGATGTAGCTTTGAATAGTTGAAGATAAAATAGATAAGTAATAAATATGATTGAAGAAAATTTAATGTTCGACAACTACGACTATATGTTATAGAAGTAAAACTTGAGAATAGAGAGAAAAACATATTGTTCCAATCTTCCTCAAAATAGCCTAGTCACACATAAACTTAGTCACGTATCAACCATATTATTAATCATTATTGGTCACAATAATGTAAATAGCAGGTAATTTAATAATTAAAATTATTTGACTAACTTGTTCTCTCCTCATGACTAGTCTGTAATTATTTTTTGTTTTATGCTTCAATATTTTCATTTCACCTGTACCTCTTTGTTTCCATTCTTTGTTGTCAAACCTGTACAACAGTCCTCTCTCTGAAAAAACTTTTTTAACAATACAAATTAGTTTAATTGAAAAATACAAATTATGTCAATAAATGTTTACCTTTAAAAAATGAGTAAAGCCTTACCAACATCTTCATCTTCTTCCCCAGTTTTTAAATCAATTTTTTCAGGGAGGGGAACTATAGGAGCAAACTGTGGGTCATGATCATCATCAGCTTCTGCGTTATCACTATCTCCATCATCTTGATCATCTTTTGCAGGTGCAGGAGCTTTATTTTTAATATCTGCAAATAATTGGGATCCTGCACCTTCCCACTTAAAATTTTCATTGGCTCCTGGAAAATAAAAAAAATTTAATTACTTAAATTAATAAACAATTGGTTTATTGTTTAAAGTATTATTAACTACTCTAGTAACTACAGTACTAACTAACATTAGTAACTACAGTACACTGGAGTCCTGCTAATCCAAACTAGACTAGAAACCATTTCATCTTCAGACAAATATGTTCAATGTCAACATCTCAACAAAATATTCTCAGTAAGTTATTAAAAAAAAAAAAAAAAAAAAAACTGCGTTTAGACATTTCACGAAATATGAGAAACACAATTATCCAACTTGACTAAAAATTACATAATTGTTAAATCAAATGATTTATTCTATATCTCTTGGTACCAACAGCAATTGGGCAATATCAAAAACAAGAAACAAAAATACTAGCATAGTGTAATAACCATTTATATATTTGTTTATCCCATAGTTTGTGAAATTTCTAAATGTACTTTTATATTATTAAAGAAATATTTACAAGATCTTGTAATGTACACTTTTATTGGAAGTGGGTAAAAAGGGTTTAATAAATTAATGTTAAACAGTTAAAAGGCCAGCTAATGTAGTTCTACTTGTTGAGGGAAAAGAAAATAGTTGCTCTGTAGTTTCCCCAAAAAGGAAAATCCCAAAGAGGAGAGGGAACAAAGGATGTGTTTCAGCAAGCAGTTGTTGTTAATGTGGCTGCCGTGCAGAGAAAATGGGAGAAGGGACCCTGGCCCCAGTGGGTAAAACCCAGTAATAGTTTGGAAATACAAGAGAGAGGATCTCCCAGGGAGCTTGAGTTGAGTAGAAGAAAGTATTACCATTTTGGAAGTTGTGTTTCTCATTTGAAGACAAATGAATTTAGTGCGACAAAGAAACAGCATCTATAGAAAAAAGGTTAGCTTGCCAATACATATTTCACTTTATTTTAAAATCAAACAGTGTTTAGTATAGTTAATTTTAGTTTGTCTGGATGTTTTGTTCTGATTGTCAGTAACCCACACCTCTGATAAATAAATATGTTAATACCCTTATAATTTTGTTTATTATTTAATAACCTCTTAATTAATTAGGAAGTATCCCAACGATATAAAGTGATCTTCTGAAGTTAAATTATTATTTGTAAAATATAAGAGAGATGTTACAATCTATTAACAAAAACGACACAAATTGTGCTAGAATTTCGAGTGAGCAAACCTGGGAGTTTTATAGATCTTGGTTTTCAGTTATAGAAACTCTTTGAGTCAAATTTTTCACTGTAATTTTCTAAAATTATCTAACTTTTACGGTTTACAGACTGATTGAGAAAGGAGACATGTCCTCTTCTTCTCCACACAATGATGTCCCAATTAATCACTTGCATGATTCTTACAAATTAAGTTACAAAGTTTTGAGTATAAACATATGCATATAAAAATAATTGCTTGAATACCGATAATTAATAAATTTATTAATACATTCCAGGTCTTTACAATGTTATCAAACTATTTGTTTTAACTTTCTAAACACATGGCTATACCGTACAAGTTTTCAAATACTTGAAAATGTCACGTCACATTCATGAACAACATTCAAAATATTGAAATATTTTACTCAATTATTCGCCAAGGAAGTGAACTAGGAAAATATAAACAGTTATTCGTGTTTCATTTACCAGTTTTCTTCTTTTTTTAATTTGTACTGTCAAATTGAATGACATGTTCTAGAAAAACAAACTATTTGATTCAAATGGTCATCAGAAAGCTTGAGAACCAATCAATGAATCTGAAATTTTCGCATTCAATTACTCATGTAAATTGTAGCACATTCTGGAAAAGAATCCAAAATGTAGCAGATTTCATAAATTACTTAGGACGTATTCTGAGACAATTTCAGCCAATTTTTCCCATGGTGACCTGCCCATGTAATTTTGAAATGAAAACTTCTTTAGGCACGTTTTGCACTTTTTTATAGAGGGTGAATTAGATTGATCCGTCAAATTTAGTTCAGCATGAATGCCATGGATTTTTACATATGGATTAAAATATCTCAGAAACTATAAATTGGGCCTGCATACTGTAAGCAAGGAAATTGCTTAGCATTTTATCTTCTCTGTAATAGGCTATAATTCAAAATTGAATCTTAACACAAAGCCGTTAGAGAGGCAAAAATGAAAAAATAGTTTTGAAAACCAAATAAGGTTAGTTGAACATATGGATTACAATATTTCAGATACTAAAAATCGGATCTGTATACTGTAAGCGAGGGCAATGTTCAGCACTTCATCTTCTTTGCAATGATCTATTATTTATAATTTATATTTTGTATTATATATCTCGCCTTGTTGATGTTTTCACTTATATCGTGTGGTCCAAAGTAGAGATGGGCAGTACTCGATTACTTTCATGATTTGAGTAATTTTATTAGGAAAAAGTATCGAGTAGTTTCTGTACTCGGCTTGACATCGGCGAGTACTGAGAGTACTCACGCAGCGTTAATCATGATTTAGTTAAGTACAGAAAATACTCGCGCTGTTATATCGAATTACAGAATGTACTAAGCCAAATTCCTACAAAGAGTACTTTTTATTTTTCAACTACTCCGTCATTATTATAAAGAGTATAAATGTTTTCTTTTATTTCCTTCAATAATAGCGGCCATATTCGACCTGACCAACCCTAACTCCCCATTAATCGATATTAGACTAACCATCATGTTTTGGGGGGCGCTATTTATGAAAATTATATCGAATTTGAGATTGGGCCCCCCGGGGCCCGACATTTTTTTACTTTTTGGATTAAATCGATATCGGGGTCGACTATTGTGTTTTGGGGGGCGCTATTTATGAAAATTATATCGAATTTGAGATTGGGCCCCCCGGGCCCGACTTTTTTTAACTTTTTGGATTAAATCGATATCGGGTCGACTATTGTGTTTTGGGGGCGCTATTTATGAAAATTATATCGAATTGAGATTGGGCCCCGGAGCCCGACTTTTTTACTTTTGGATTAAATCGATATGGTCATATTATGTTGGGGGCGCTTTTATGAAAATAATCGATTGAGATTGGCCCCCGGGGCCGACTTTTTGTAACTTTTCGGATTTAATCGATATCAGGGTCGACTATTAGGTTTTGGGGACACTTTTTATGAAAATACTGTCGGATTTTAGATTGCACCCAGTGGATTCACTTTTTGGATTTAGTCGATATCAGGGCCGTCTATTAAGTTTTAGGGACCGCATTTTATAAAAAAAAATCCGACATCATTTTCATAACAAGTGTCCCCTAAAACCTCATAATCAACATTGATATGGATTAAATCCGAAAGGTTACAAAAAGTCGGACCCCGGGGGCACTATCTCAAAATTTATGAAAATGATTCGTAATCCGATATCATTTTCAGAAAAAGCGCGCCCTAAAACATAGGAGTTGACCCTGATATCAATTTAATCCAAAAAGTTAATAAAAGTCGAGGCTCGGGGAGCCAATCTCAAATTTGATACCATTTTCATAAACAGTGCTCCCAAAACTTAATAGTCGACCCTGATATCGATTAAATCAGAAAGGTTACAAAAGTTGGCCCCGGGGGCCCAATCTCAAATTCGATATATTTTCATAAAAAGCGCCCCCAAAACATAATAGTCGATCCCAATATCGATTTAATCCAAAAGTAAAAAAGTCGGGCCGGGGGCCCATCTCAAATCGATATTTCAAAAGGCCCCCAAAACAAAGTCGACCCGATATCGATTATCCAAAGTTAAAAAAGTGGGCCGGGGGCCCAATCTCAAATTCGATACCATTTTCATAAATAGTGCCCCCCCAAAACATAATAGTCAACCCCGATATCGATTTAATCCAAAAAGTTAAAAAAAGTCGGAGGCCAGGGGGCCCAATCTCAAAGTCGATATCATTTTCATAAATAGCGCCCCCCAAAACATAATAGTCGACCCCGATATCAATTTAATCCAAAAAGTTAAAAAAAGTCGGGCCCCGGGGGGCCCAATCTCAAATTCGGTATCATTTTCATAAAAAGCGCCCCCTAAAACATAAGAGTCGACCCTGATATCGATATAATCCGAAATGTTACAAAAAGTCGGGCCCGGGGGCACTATCTGAAATCTGACAGCATTATCATAAAAGTCAAGTGGTGTAGAAAAAAAAATGGTCCCCAAAGTTGATTAAATCCAAAATATTTTAATAATTCTTTATTTTATCGATTTACATTAATATCGATACTATTTTAAAAAACTATACCCCCATAAGATAACAATGGACTTAAATATGGAAGAAATATTAAATATTCTACTCCTGTAATTTTTATAATGAAATACTCGATTACTTTGAAAAGTACTCAGAGTAAAATATTGCTGAGTAGATTTGAAAATAGAAAGTACTCACGAGGCCAGCAGATAACTTTTTGTACTCGTCAATCATGAGGTCGAGTAGTGATTGAAGTACTCGATACTCGAACCGGGCGAGTATTTGAGTAAATTACTCTGTAATTGTACTTTTTACTCAGAGTACAATTTTGCCCATCTCTAGTCCAAAGCACACACCTTAGTTTTTTCCATGATATTTGTGAAATCCTTCCAAAATCTTGTCAGATTTTATTAAATCAGTCACAGCAGTTTGAAACTATTTCAACCGGTTTTCTGCCTGCTGCTGATCATGTGATTTTTGGGCACTTCTTCCACTTTTTTTTAATTCAGGCATCACTAAACACTTCCTGTTAGCAGTCTGGCTTGATGGCTTTTGGCATCAAGGCTGTCATGACTACTGTTCAAAAATGCTATACTTTCTGCCAACTATAACAAGGTTAATTCTGTGGTAGATCCTGGACTAATATGGGTCTTTATTCAAGCAGTAGCAAGAGCAGAAGTATTGATAAAAGTTAAAATTATGTTAACAAAGAGAAAACAGAATTTTAAGAATTTATCAGACAGGCATATAGTATTAAATATAATATGGATCAATCACTTTTAATGAATTTAATATTTTGTCTTTATGTATTGATAGAATATAAAAATATGGCAAAGAAATTAATTCAATTTTAAAAACATTATAAAAATCATGAAAGATTAGGACCCTAAAAGTTAAAATAAATTCATGGATTGAAAAAATGAAAATTTATGTAACATTACAATACTATATATATATATAAAAACAATTTTTTTTTCTCTTAAATTACCTCCAAAACTAAAGGTGTTAGCAGATGATGCAAAAGAAGTAAATGGCATAGCATCATTACCAGGAATTGAAGTTTCAGCAATCGATTTAAATGAAAAACCTTCACCACCAAATGTGCTTTTTCCTGATCCTGTAAAATACATTGTAAAAAAAAAATAATGTCAGTTACATTAGTTTAAAAAGCAGTTCATAATCATATCACTTAAAGTATTTATTCTTAAACATGTTAAATGCCACAAATATTTTTAGAACTCTAGTCTAACATGAAAACTTAATTTTATCATTAATTATATTATTCAACACTCTAATTATAATATACAATTATCAAAAATCACTAAAAACTTCATTGCATCAGCCAAAATATGGCAATTAAACAAACAATGATATAACTAGTATTTGATGTCCTAGTCAGTATATTAACTATGAGCTATGTGATAGTTCAGCATTCAATGTATAGCATTTCCAAATCAATTTCAACCTTTTCCAAATCAAATTCAACCTTTTCCAAGTCAAATTAAACCTTTTCCATTTCAAATTCAACCTTTTCCAATTTAATTTCAACTGTTTTCATTTCAAATTAATGTTTTAATTTTTTGTAAGTTGTATATATTTTTTTAAAATAATAGCCATCCCCTCCCCCCCCCCTCCAATATGAAAGTCTATTATTATGATCTCCTAAGTAGAATTTTCACTTACAGATATCGATTTATTGTACCTATTTGGATTTATTAGGGACTAGTATTATGCTGTCCTGTACCTAAATTTGAAAATAACCTCCATTTTAAGATTAAGTGACTGCGTTTCGAATCATTTAAGTATTTTTGACTTATTCGATATAAGGGTGTATTTTTATGTTTCCCGATCAGTAAATTTTGAAAATGACATCCATTTTATGTTTACGCCACTGTGTTTTGACTTATTTAAGTTTTTAGAATTTATCCAATATAAAGGTCTACTTTTATGTTTCTGGAGCCGTAGATTTTGAAAACGACCTCCATTTTAAGATTAGGCCACCGCGTTTCGACTTATTTGAGTTTTTCGGATTTTTTTCATATAATCATACGAGGGTGTATTCTTATGATTCCGGAGCCGTAGATTTTGAAAACGACCTCCATTTTAAGATTAGGCCACCGCATTTCGATTTCTTTGAGTTTTTCGGATTTTTTCATATGAGGATGTATTCTTATGTTTCCGGAGCCGTAGATTTTGAAAACGACCTCCATTTTAAGATTAGGCCACCACATTTCGATTTCTTTAAGTGTTTCGAATTTTTATCATAAAAGAGTGTATTCTTATGTTTCCGGAGGTGTAGATATGAAAATGACCTCCATTTTAAGATTACGCCACTGCGTTTCGGCTTATTCAAGTTTTTCGAATTTATCCAATTTAAAGGTCTACTTACTTTTATGATGCCAGAGCCTTAGTTTTTAAAACGGCTTTTATTTTAAGAGTAGGCCACTGTGTTTCGGTTTTTTTAAGTGGTTTTGATTTTTCCTTCGAATAAAAAACAAAATACGAAGGATTAATTTATTTTTCAATAAATACAAAAAAATATCTAATCAAAATAAATAAAATATGTATTGTCTCATTTTTAATTTAATTTTAGTTATCTTTTTTAATGTTGTGGTCTCCTGTCACAAAATTATAAGATTTCGTACAATTAGCTGAAAAATCTGAATACGGAAGGTTAAATTTATTACCAGCTGCTTTTCGGCTTTTTAGTTTGTATTCTGTGGTTAATTTAACTTTAGCTTCATAATATTTATTTATTTATTCATACTCAAAAACATATTGATGAAACTTTGTATTGAAAAAATCCAAAATGAAGCCTAATTATTCGAGTTGCAGCGGCTTAATCATAAAATGGAGCTTAAATATTAGATAAATTTAAATATTAAAGATTAGAAAAATTTCAATACGTCTCGGATAACATATAAGTAGATCCTTATACCGAAAAAGTAAAAAAAAAAACTTTTATAATCCAAAACACAGTGGCATAAACTTGAAATTGGGTCATTTACAAAATGGGGGAAATCTACTGCTCCAGAAACATAAAATTAGATCTTTATACTTGTTAAATTCTAAAAACTTAAATAAGTTGAAACGCAGTGGCGTAATCATACAATAGAGGTCATTTTCAGAATCTACGGTTCCGAAAACATAAAAGTAGACCTTTAAATTGGATAAATTCGATAAACTTAAATAAGCCAAAATGCAATGGCGTAATCATGAAATGGAGGTTATTTTCAAAATCTACGGCTCAAGAAACATAGAAGTAGACCCTTACATCGAATAAATCAAAAAAACTTAAATAAGTCGAAACGCAGAGGCGTAATCTTAAAATGGAGGTCATTTTCAATATCTACAGCTCCGGAAACATAAACATACACCCCTAACATCGAATAAATAAAAAAAAAAAAAGTCGAAACGCAGTGGCGTAATCTTAAAATGGAGGTCATTTTCAAAATCTACAGCTCCGGAAACATAAAAATACACCCTCATATGAAAAATATCCGAAAAACTCAAATAATTCGAAACGCGGTGGCCTAATCTTAAAATGGAGGTTATTTTCAAAATCTACAGCTCCGGAAACATAAAAATACACCCTCATATGAAAAATATCCGAAAAACTCAAATAAGTCGAAACGCGGTGGCCTAATCTTAAAATGGAGGTCGTTTTCAAAATCTATGGCTCCAGAAACATAAAAGTAGACCTTTATATTGGATAAATTCTAAAAACTTAAATAAATCAAAACACAGTGGCGTAAACATAAAATGAATGCCATTTTCAAAATTTACTGATCGGGAAACATAAAAATACACCCTTATATCGAATAATTCAAAAAAAACTTAAATAATTCGAAACTCAGTCACATAATCTTAAAAAGGAGGTTATTTTCAAAAACTACTCGTACGATAACAGACCCACACATCGAAAAATTAAAGATAATTAAATAAATAAAAAAAGGTTGAATTTGAAATGGAAAAGGTTTAATTTGAAATGGAAAAGGTTGAATTCGACTTGGAAAAAGTTTAATTTGATTTGGAAAAGGTTGAATTTGACTTGGAAAAGGTTGAAATTGACTTGGAAATGCTATATTAAAGGAAACTAAAATGCATCTAACCACTGTTGGGAGACACAAGACACCACAGTAAGTGGAAAGCTTTCATTGGATCTTTCTCTAAACACAAATTAAGACTTCTGTCATTAAGTAGAATAAACTGGCCATAGAGAACCAATTAGCATTAGTGTACTTAAAATTAATCAATAGAATAATTCATCACATTTTCCAATGGGTAAGTAAATAAGTAACGTGTAAGCAATAATTACCATGAAAATAACTTTTATTCTTTTTTATATGAATGGAAAGCCCTAGAGAACTGAATTTTCACAAAATCTTTTAAGGAATTTAATGTTGAATCGTGAAGTAGTAAGGAGCAATCTTTCTTCACAGAGTACTAATTGTCCTATGACATCTTTTTTTTTTTTTAATTACATTTATGCATCAAGTAAAACATAAGTGATAAACAATGGAGGTCAAAAAAAAATTATATTAAATTATGTCGTTAAAGTCATAATAAATTTTGAGCTGGTCATTTAAGCGGTCATGATAATCCTGTAATTTATCGCAATAAAACCCCTACCCTATCCTAGTCATCTAAGGGGGAAGTATATAGCTAAACATAACACAAAAATTATGGATTCATTGCTATCTTAGACTAAAGTTTTATTATTATTTATCCAAATCATAAAATTCACACGTTACTGCTGCTTAGATCATGAAAACCATAATATAGATTAAACGTTGATTTAAAAACAATCACTACAGTGGCATATAAGCTCATTAAAACAGAGATGAACACAAATTATTGCTAATTAATATAACAAGATCAATTAAAGACAAACTGTAAAGTTTGACAAACCATATACAAAAACTATAGATATAAAATTTAACAGTCTTAAATTTCAAAATCTACTTACCAAATATGCTATTAACAGGGGCAGGACTACTGAATGAAGAATCATTTTTGAAAAAATATCTGCTTGAATTATCTCCAATAGTTTTACCTAGGGGAAAATACATGTATACATAGTTTCATCATTTTAAAAACAATTATTTATTTTAAAAAAATTAATACATATATATATATATATATAAATATATTTCAGTCCCTTGGTTATAGTGGCCAATATCAAAAGCCAACACTACTGATATAATTACCTTTCATAATGGAAATTTTATAAAAAGTTGAAGAAAAAAAAATTAATATCCTGAAGAATAAACATTACCATTGTAACACTATTCAGTTAATTCCTAGCTAGAAAGAGCTGATTGCGCTGGATGGTTTATTTATTTTAGCTTCACAGAATTAATTTGCATTTAAAATTGAAACACCATTAATAGAGCATTGAAAATGATGTACCAAATACTGATAAACTGGTATCAAAACATCTGAATATTCTTCAATATATTCATAATTCCTTATGCACTGTATATACCAGATCAATATTACTGCCAATATTGCAGCATGCATATTATGACAGAACTATTGACTTCAATTTATTTAATAGTAAAAGTATAGCAAAACTTACTTTCATTAGGTTTCAATGCACTCGCAAAAGAAAATCCTTCCACAATTGGATTTGGGTTAAAGCTAAAGGGAATAGGTTTTTTATCCTCTGCAATGACCTGATTTATTTCCTTATTTGGTTGTTGAGAGTCATTAATACTTGTTTTGTTTAGGTTATCAGAATCTTTAGAAGGAGGTTTCTTCACTTCACACTTCTCTTGTTCATCCTAGAATAAGATATTATAGAATAAATGAAAAAGAACTGATGCAAATTTAACATGAATGAATTGCAGGACAATATTAAACATTTAAAATAAGTAACAACCTCATTATCTGCTTCACAGCCACAGCAACCCGGACATGGTGGTTTTTCCAAATAACAATAAAAGTTTGCAGGAAGTTTTAAAGCTAATGCTTTTTCAACTAGTTCTGGAGGCGCTTTCTGTTCATAAATAATTTCAATGTCTGTAAATAGGAAAACATGATTTAATCGCCACATAAAAAAAAAAAAATCACCAAGTTAATCCAATTGTTTAATAGAGAGAGAATCACTTTATCATAAAATAGAATAAAATGGTGCTGCCCAATTATATTGGGTTGCTAACAACACAGCATACTTATTAATCACTACAGACATTATTTAAAATTATTATTATTTAAACTCAGTTTAGATAAAATTTTATTTAAGTTATGAGAAAAATCAACTTACCACTATCTGAATTTGATACACTAGCAGTAGCATCATTAACTAATTCTTTATTAGAAGACTTCTCCTCATCTGAAATTAATATTGTTTATCAAATTTGACTAACTTTAAATAAATTTATAAATAAAATAAAATAATCAATCAGTGGGAAGTTTCCCATTATTTAATAATTTAAAGAAATTCATATACCACTGTTTAAATATTTTACATTTAAAATACTTTTTAATACAGCTTTAACTTGATTGTTTTCTCAATGGCTTGAAAACTTTTTCCTGAGAATAATATGTTGTTTACATGAAGTGAACAAGATATTAATGAATTTGTTTTCTACAATAAAAAAAAAAAAAACACTAATACTTTATCACATAGTGTAATATTAATACCAAAAGCACAACATATAATAACATAAAGCAAACATCTAGCAGCATGATTGTTTTAAGATATCAAACAATTCATTTTGAATCAACTTTTGGAATGTACTGATAGAAATAATAATAAGCTATGAATAAGATCATTATATAAAAAAGGTTGTTAAATATTACCTTTGTTCAATTATCACTTTAGGCCCTATCAATATATTTTTCCAACGTATTTTTAGTAAATACTGAATAAAATGAAAAATTCAGTGATTCTGATGGTTATCTTAAAATATTGAATGTAATAATTTAACAATCATTAGTTTTGAAAAATTTGGTTAACAAATATTTTTAAAAATAACTTAAGTATTGTAAACATTAACAGGATTTTATATCTATTTAAAATCAACATTTGTATTTTAAAAATGCTAAATCCTAAAATATGTTTCATTCAAATGTTGAACAAAATAAAAGAAAGTTTTTTTCCCCCATCAAAACAGGCAAAATTTTGGACAAATTCAGAGAGAGGAAGGTAAGGTGTTTTTCTGAAGAAATTTTGATTGAGGAATAACATGGATAAGCTATATAAATGTGTGTTATCAAAAACCAATTCATGGAAATTTTGGCTTTATTTCAAAAATGAATAATTAAGACAGATAATTACATAATTAAAAATGTTACAACATGCAAACTGTTATATAAATCATACAGAAATATTAATCATATGTTATAAATAATAAAAAGATTATATGAACATTCATAGAAACAAAGAAGAATCATAATACAGTCATAAAGACTAAATTAATACAATAGCCATGCAGTTTGAAAATTAGTAACTAAACTAAGCCAAGACCAAGAAATAACAAAATATTCATGAAAGAAACTAGATATATAGGGAATCTTCACTCTGTCTTGTCAGCTTAACCAAACTGTTTAATATAATTATTTACATCCACAAATCTTTTATTAATTTTAATAATACTAACAAGTTTCAAAAACTTGCTCCCTATTATTAGTAAACTGATTGCAGAATATTAAGTGTATTCAGTAAGCTAAATTCTATACACTTGATATTATATTCCGATAATATAGCAGTAATACAATTAAAACAATCACAGATAAAACAGATTAAAGTATAGAAAACTAAAACAACAGATCACATTCAAGCTTATGATACTAATCACAAGCCTTAAAATTTAAAATTTATATTAAATATTAATCTCACAATTATTCTAACATAACAGAGTATAGATTATAGAAACTCTCATTAAACTAACATTACTGATTAATTGAATTGATGATTTTGAAAAAAAAAAAATGATAATAATTTATGAGTGTTCTTCTACGTTTTACTATTGATACATATGGATGGATGTATGTACATTTATAATGTGTGTGTTTGTTCCTCTCGCAGAGATCATATCCTTGATTTAGTTCAATTGTATTTTGCCTTTTGAGTTTAATAATCAATTATTTATTTAAAAATTCAATGAAAAAAATTAAATTTTTAAAATTATTAAGCAGATATTGCATTAAAATACACTTAAGTATTTTCGTTCAGAGGACCTAACAAAAAAATGAAAATAAAAGAAAGTTCCTCATACATTAATTTGCAAAAAACTTCACTAAAATATCTCTCACTAGAACTTTTCATTTAAGTCAACTAAATTTGGCTAACGAATGCTCTATTGTTTACTTCTTATGAGAAAATGAGAAACAGAGTTGACTAACATATTTACAAAAAAAACAAAAACAGTTTCCAATATTAAAGTATAACATATCATAATAATACATTTTTAAAATAAATCCCTTATATTAACACGTTAGCTGTGGCTACGGTCCACGGGTTCCGATATTTTTCTCGATTTCGGTCGGGATTGTTTAGAATTTTCCCTATCTTACGAAGTCTCTAAAATGGTCATTTTTAAAAATATTTGAATGGGAGTTGGATAGATGTAAAGTTATATACAAACGTAAATAATCATTATATCTGATATAAAACTATCAGGCGCCGGGGACCATATCCACAGCTAACGTGTTAAACTTAAAATTACAGAAATATAAGATTAAGTTCTAAAACTGATTAAAAGCAGTATTCAAAAAAATTATAAAGCCTTCTTAAGATTTTTTCTCAGAAACAAACTTGGTGAGGACCAACTCTGATTCAGTTGAATCTCAACTCGGTTAACAAAACTTATCATTTTGCACCATAAAAATTATCTTTTTTTTTTTTTTTTTTTTATTAACTATAAGTACACATTATTCAAATACTAATAATGATATTGAGATAAATAATAAAATAAATAGTATTTCCCTACAATGAATGATTGTATAACAAACAAAATAATAAAAATAAAACAACAATAAACTTATTTTCAACCACGTAACAAAAATATAAAATAAATAATATGTCAAGTATAATTACAAATAAGGACAAAGACTCAGATCAGAACTATCTTTATTCTTCCAAAATCAGGATTGGAAATAATTACAGAAAGGAATAACTAATCTTTAAATAGAATGTTTCTGATCAACATTATGAATATCCAATCCAATAACTGATGGAAGTAGTTAGCTATCAACATATTAAACTTTAAGATTGGATTGATAAAATAAATACTAAAACTATGCACTGAAAACTTCTAAATTTAATTAAAGTAAATCGTTTATTTTTGAAAAATTGTATGAAAGTTCATATTTATTAAACCTGTCATTGCCAAAAACAATATTGAACTTTAATTTTTGTAGCTACCTTACAAATACCAAATATTTCCAAATCGACACATTATTTTCATAATAAAAAAATAAAGATAATGAAGGAAGTTAATATAGTCATTACATTGATAATAATATTGGTTACTAACATCCTATTCAACTTCAAAATCCTATTCTTTAAAAAAATCTTATGAATTTTCATTAAAAATTGATTTCCGAAACAATGCATAAGACTTGAGTTAAAAACGAGATTCACTCCAGAAACTTAAAATTATACTGACTATGCCTGCTGATTAACTCATTTTTCATTTAATTCCAATTCAATGTTTTATTTATAATTTAATAAATGATATGTCAATTATTATCATAATCAATTTAAATATATATACATAATATTTCTTGAGCTAATTTACTTCTTTGGCACAATGATTAAAGAAATACCATAACTTAGGGCTACTTGGACCCATAGAAAAAAGGTTTAAATTACACCAAGGTATCTTATTTTGAAAATATAGATATGATTTAACAGGTCGGAGCCAAGTTCCTGCAACTTTTTTTTCTGTTTAGTTTCAAGTAGCCCCAAGTTACGGTAAACCAACAACTGTAGTACGAATAACAAGACAATATTCAATATGACATAAATTTTAAAAAAGTGTATATTAATATTAAAGGAAACATATAATATGAGCTATGAAATATATAATAGTTCCAGATCGTACTACCAAAATTTCATGATTTAATAATAATTAACAAAACAAAAAATGTATATATATATATATATATATATATATATATATATATTTGTTTTGTTATATATTAGAAATATATATATATATATATATATATATATATATATATATATATAACAATTATTGTTTAATTCTATAATTTGGGAAAATATTTAAAATTTTGTTTTTGGTTTTGCTAAGTTTGAATTAATTTAATCTTTATCTTAAATAAATCAATGCTACTTCTTCTTTATCATACTGATATAAACCAAGCACCTTCAGATTGACAGTAAATTTGAAATAAGAAACTTATGATTTTACATTTTATAATCATATACTATATCCCAGCATAAAATATATTGTGCTATGAATTCTAAAACAAAATACTACTTCAAAGCAATGTAAAGTTCAATCAACTTTATTATCTTTTAATAATGTTTTTCAATCTCGTACATTTTTCTTTCTTTTTTTTAAGGAGAGGGGAAGAAGAAGACACAGAATCTTCTATATACTTTTAAGTTAGTTTAAATTAAACATCAAAACATAATAACAAAAAATATTAAAATCATAATATTATTTTGCGTTAAATTTACAGTTGTTCCAAATTTCAGCTTTGTTCAATCAAATTACTTTTGGAATTATGATTTAAAAAACTATTAATGAATAGTGAATAAAAAACAAATAGCAACACTGCATATCTCCAAAAATGTAAAAATTAGACAATAACTTATGAAGTTTTTTTTACACTGGATTTAATAAGCTTATACATTTTGTCCTAAACATTTTCATGGAAAATGGTTTGGATGCAAATATTGTAAAATTGTAGATATAAACTGAAGTATTTGAATTTCCATAACAAAATAAACGAAAGTTAAACTGTACAGTATCACCTTATATAAAAAACTTTTAAGACATTTGGAGTTGAAAATTAATTTAGTTTAACTTATTGTTAAAATGTTTTGACTTTTGATAACAAACATAATACACCAACATTTTCTTCAACTGTGAATTAGGCAAAAGTGAAAGTAAAGTTTTCATTTTGGAAACCAGGTCATAAACATTCAGCGGTTTAATGCAAAAAGTATTATTTATGAAAGGTGTACAAATACACTTCATCAAGTGCCAATGGTGCCAGATACAAAAACAAAATGGATAGAATGTAATACTTAAGTAACCAGGGGTTAATTCAACAGACAAAGCATCCAATATATTTACATACCTATTATTTTCAGAAACTAATAGATTCTCAATCATTGTTAAGGAAGAATTGTTAGAGGTTAAGCTAAATTTACTACTGAAAAAATATGAGGTTATAAGAAAATAAAGTGTTACAAATGGTTGATTGTAATAACCAACATCCATACCCTGTTTATGAATAGGAGTTCCTTCCACGGACGTACATAGTGATAAATCATTTTCCTAAAAAAAAAAGAAGTAATAATTACAAACAAACAAGATTTGCAGCAAATCTTTGAGTTAAAATAAATATTTTCATTTAAAATTATTTCTGACTAGCCATTATTTTTGAAATTAAAAAAAAAAAAAAAAAAAAATCATTTTAATTTACTTAAAATTATTTCTAGCATTATTGTAATTAATTAAAGGAGTATTAATACTAATCGATCAAAGAGTAGAAATCAAGAGAGATAGCAAAATAATATAAATACAAACGGGTGCTATTAATTAATATTACTTCTTAATTATTTTGTTAAATCACTTAATCAAATAATAGTAAACCTTAAAAATTCTGGAGCAGTGCACGCATCAAACAACTTCCACTTAAGCTCTGATGAGCGCTCAAATTTTGTTGGTCCTCTTTTAATATATTAGGTTACTTTTCCTTCAGATAATTACCGAATTCTTTCATATTTAACCATTTTTTATATCAGGTTCCAATGTGAAATGATTAATTATTTTAAATAAAAAAAGTAAAGGTACAATAGAGGAAGAAATTTGGAAAATTAGACATTTAAGCACTGATTGAGAAAATCAATGAGAATAAGACCTACATTATATTAAAAAGATTTTCATTTTGCACTGATGTATTGAATTTAATCAAAATCATTAGAGCCGTTTTCGAGAAAATCGCAAAAATGTGATGTGTTTAGTCCATTATATAAAATACTACTTCCGATTAGCCGATTTTAACGAATAAGTTGCTGACACATCCGAGCCATATACAAACCTTAAATACCCAATTTCAGTTTTGTACCCCTTATCGTTTTCGAGCGAGGGTATTACACACACATGCATGCGCAGATCATTTTGCAAAACAGTTTGAATTAAAAGTAAACAACACTGTCTCTTGATTTTAGAGGGATCTGTGTTGTTGCTAAGATTTTTTTTAATCATGTCTAGTCTGGACGGGGTGTCATTTATGTTCTAATTATATTGATTAACATAACAAGAAAAACTTACTTATTACACACGCAACAATGAAAATCTGTGAAAGCTAAATTTAATTTTGTTAACAATAGAAAAATAAATCAAACTTACAAACGTTAATATTAATATTTATATGATAACTACAATAAGGAAATATTTTTTGACATGAGAAGACATAAATAATTTCAAATGCTAATAATAGGAATATATTTACATTTGTAAGTGCATTATCAAATGCTTGTTTGAACTCTTGTGCAATATCAGATGACTTAAATCGAATAGCAAAATTTTCCTTTGTCTCAACTCCTTCTGAATAATCAACAGCATACCACAGCCATGTCTTGTCATCCTTTGGTCTCAAGATAATTTCATCAGTAATAAAATGATTTAAACAAATTTTCATAACCTGATCTCTCCTCATGAGGAATCTAAAAATGTTTTAAAAAAAGCCTGGTGAATAAAAAAAATAATGAAATGTGTAAACAAAAAAAGAACACACATAAAACATATAATTGGAAGATTATTAAAATTTTCATATAAAAACAATAAGTACACCACACTCATTTTCACCTATTTTTTTTATATAACTTATAAAAATTATAACTAATTTATAAAACGAAAATCACATAATTAAAAAAAATTTGAAAGTCCAAAGAAAAAAAAAATAGTACACAATTAATAGTTATATTATTTAATATTTTTGGATATAATACTGTAATGGCTGAATTATACTTTGTCGATCTAAAATGTAATAATCTTACTATCACAAATAAAAATCCAAGAAAAAAATATTTGATGTTTTCATCAGATGAGTTATAGTAAACTAATATAAAAACATGAAAATTATATGAAGTACAATATACTTCCGAATTCTTAATAAGCGGAAAAAGTTTTGGACTGATGCCCTAGCTGATAATTAAAAAACATTCCTTAAAATGGAAAAGTATTCCAATGAACTATTGGTAGATTATTATTACTTTAATGATAAAATTATCAAATATAACCATAATGTTTTCATAAAGAACTATAAATAATGGGCAAAGTCATTTTGTCTGATATCTTTTGAACGAGTAGTACTGTTGAAGGCCTGAAACATTGGCACAAAGAAAATAATTTTTTTTTTTTTTGTATTTTCAATTACTGCAATCCCTAACTAACTTCCAATGTAAAGAACAACGGCCAACCATTTCTCCACCAGCTATAAATGATGTTAGAATGAAAATTTTAAATAAAAGGAATAAATGATAATTATTATAAGTATGTATTATTTGATTGCTTTTTCCACTTTTTCATTCCCAAGACGGATAGTTATCTACATAGTTGAGTTTCTCTTTTTAATCATATTTTTTATTTAATTAAGGTGTTTTAAGATTTTTAGTTTTTAAAGAATAAAAAACATTTTCATGGCGTATGTAACAACTCATTTTCATGAAGACTGATCACCTGATATCATTTCAAATCAATTAATAATCAAGATACTTTAACTGTAATAACATTTTTTTCTATATTTTGTGCTCAAATTGCTTTAAAACATTGAAGAGAGCTCACTGGGTAATTGCAGCTGTCAAAGTTAAAAATTAGTAAATTTTTCATCCGCTGAAAACATTGTTATAGATACCTTTCAGCCAATTGATTACACAGTAATTTGTCCGAATTTTTTAGCTTAAATTTTTTCAAAACACTGATGGGATCTCAATGAATATTTTGTGCTATCAAAACTTAAAAACTGATCCAACAGTTTGCTAAAAAAAATTGTTACTTAGATTTTTGCAAATTGATTAAACACATTTTATTTAATAACAGGTCAGTATTTTTAGTTCCAATTGTATCAAAACATTCAGTGGATCTCACCAAATAATTTGAGTCATCAAAATTAAAATCAATCCAGTCGTTCGCTCAAAAAAGCGTTACATAGGTTTTAGCTGACAACTGAAACATACAAACCTCAGTCTGTTTTGCTTAGTCGGGTAAAAATAAACTTAAAACTTGAATACAATGAAAATTAATTTAAAAAAGGGTGATAAAAAGAGTAAATAAATATTTTGTGTGTATGTTTAATCTGGCATGAACTGATGGTTACCTTATCTTTCCAGAAATGTTGTGCTTTAAAATTTTAACATCTCCAACACCTCTTTCTTTCCATTCTTTTGAAGATGAGTCATATCGAAATAATTTTGCTCTCTTACAATACAAAACAGTCTCATTTTCTTCTCCAGTCACAACAGTTATTTTATCAGGCAAGGGAATGACAGGCTGAAATGAACCATTAAAACAATTTTGCATTAATTGATAAATTAATTACTCAACGTCACAAATAATAATTACAACAAAGAATCAGGATCTCTAGGGGTAAGCAGGACTTACATATCTTACTTTTTCAATTGAAAAAATTAAGTTTTTATCAAGTAAGGAGATAAAACACATTTTTATCTCTTCATCATTAGAAGACAAGAATTGAATAGTTGTTGAGGAAGAACACTCAAAATATCAATTCCGAAAGCTGGAATGTCCGAAATTCAATACATGTGACTACATTTTTAATAAAACTCAATTATTTATTAGGAATATACACATTTAAAAAATAAATTAGAAACTTGATCTAAAGAATATATACTTTAAACAAAACTTAAATCTTCCTGGCTTTTATAAAAGTATAACCAAACTTATGGCCAACATTGATCAATATTTAATAATATAGGCCTAACTGATGAGCCAATACGGATTTTGGAAATCAAAGGGAACACCACTTCAACTGACTGGCACACCAAAGGACAACTAGTTAAAACCTCTTCTGCACATTTCATTAGTTTTTATTACATTCATTTCTACTAATTTCTTTATCATTAAATTTTAATAATATATTTGTACATTAATAAATTAATTTTACCAAGGGTTCAATTAAATAATAAAAATTTACCAATTGATTTTATACAGTAAAAAAATTATAATGGCACTTAATATAATTTCGATATTCTTACAATTTTATTAAGTTACTTAACTAAGTCCAACTGATAATATCATCCATGTGGTTACCATTAGAGAAAAAGGTATATACATATATATTTTATTAAAATATATCTTTTCTCATAAATAGTTCAAGACTAATAATATTTATAAATATGAAATTAATTAGCTTACGTCAATATACATCATCAGTCTCAAAGCGAAACTTATTTAAGAACAAAATGCTTTTGATATAGGGCTATTTTATTTTTGCCTAAATTTAATAAATAGCATTATATTTTTAATTTTTTCAATTCAATAGTCTATATACCTCTATATGCCAGCTCGAGCGGTTTCTTCAGTACTTTTCAGCCCCACATTTCTAACCTTATTACCCCGCACGCACTCGAATCTCTTCAGTGATTCTGTCTCTCATTAACATCCCTTATTTCTATAAGATATATGGAATAAAGTTAAGTAACAGTTTACTTTTCCAAAAAAATTTTCTTTATTTTTATGACGTTTCGGAAATTACTTTATTATCCCATCTTCAGACCATTTCTCAACTTTCCATCAACTAATTTTTTAAAAAAGACTTGTCATAATTTTTATTATTATAAATTATCCCTTAGTTATATTGTGGACTCTTCTCAAGAGAGAGCCTAGTCAGAGACCACAGTGTCTTATGACAAGCCTTCTTTAAAAAATTAGATGATGGAAAGATGAGAAATGGTCTGAAGAAGGAATAATAAAGTGGATCCCGCAACGTCATAAAAATAAAGAAAATTTTTTGTAAGAGAAAACTGTTACTTAGCTTTATTTCATATACTTTATAGAAATAAACATCTCCCTTAGGACTTATAAACAAATCCCGTATTTCTCCTTTAGCTAACAATAAATTTTTTCACTGTTTATATTTAGCCATTTTATATAATTATTTACAACGTTATGAGGTTAAATTTTTTTTTAATAAACAAAATTAAAGGCATTTTATATCGATGATATTAAGTGCCACTTCCAATAGGCCTATGTTGAAGAAAACGTCTCTGTAACATCACAGGCATAAATAAACACAATTTTAGTTTTGTATTATTTTTCATTTTTGAGCTAGACTGTTAACGCATACATAAACACATGCACACACACTATTTTGTGAGACTTGGTTATTTGGACTCATGAGACTTCAAAATGTGAATTTCTGTTGAAAACTTGGGTTCGAATTTCTTCACAATCGCAATACTTTCCCTCAAAATACATTTCATATATAGGTAAGTGAAAGTAAAAAATTGTTCGTCCCTTATGAAGTTAGGATTGGAAAGTTATGCAGTTTCTCATAGAGACAGATGATAGATAATTCATTGATACATTAAAAGTAAACAAAACTTACTTGAAATTGTAAATGATCTTCTTCTTCTTCTGGTTCACTATCATGAGATTCATCAAGGGATTTATTAATTGAAGTATTAGTTTGTTTAACTTCTGGCATAGTAAATTTGAATTCTGATTTTCCAAATCCAAATTGAGAAACTGTTTAATACAGAATAAAAAAAACTATTTAAAAATAAAACTTTATCACATTAACATATAATAAATTATTACATGATCTCATTAAATTAATTAATATATTAACATAAATTTTTTGTTCAAAAACTGACCTGTTTCAGATGATGGAGGAAATGTAAATCCCAACTCTGGTTTCTGGGAAGCAACAGTGCTAGTGGTTTCTTTATTTGATTTGATAGTAGAAGCATTAAAACTGAAAGTGCTACTCGATGGAAAGCTGAATGTGCTACCAGAGCCAAAAGTAAATTTGGGGGAGTCGGTAGTTGGTTGAGATGATCCTCCAAATACAAAACCTGGTGCAGCATCATTTTTCGCAGAAGTATCAACAACACTACCAGGTCTCTTATCACCACAGGCTTCACATGTATGTACATCAGATCTATTACGGACATAGCAAGATTTACATTCCCAAGAGCCAGGAGAAGGTTTTAATAAACTAGAAAGACTAGGTTGTTCACTTTTCAGATTCAGACCTGAAATTTGATCCTGTGAAGATGTTTTACTGACTTCCTTTGGAGCTACAAATTTATTTATCTCAGGTTTGGGGTCTAAAGAACCATCAGGTTTTTTATCACCACATGCTTCACATTGATTTAGGTCAGACTTGTTGCGAATATAACAAGATTTACATTCCCAAGATCCAGGGGGATGCTTTGAGAAATTAAAAAGGCTAGGTTTTTCAATACTGAGGCCTGTGACTGGAGATGCTTTATTAGTCTCATTAGATGCCATAGATTTATTATTCTCAGGTTTAATATCTACAGAACTACCAGGTTTTTTAGCACCACATGCTTCACATTGATTTAGTTCTAATTTGTTTCGAATATAACAAGATTTACATTCCCATGAACCAGGTACTGACTTGATAACACTGGACAATGGTAAATGAGATTTAGCATCAACATTTTTAGTGGCTCCCCCCTGGAGACTTTCATCTAACTTCTTACTTTTTTCTTCATCAGTCTTTTGAAAATTTAAGTTAAATAGGTTTTCCCCCGCATCAGTCTTAGTTTCGCCAAAGGTTTTTTTCAATTCAAAAACCTATAAAATTACAACATAATTACTAACCTTTCAGAATATAAAAGCATAAAATAATAAATGACAAAGTCAATAAACATTAAGTAAAAACTTTGTCATCTCAAATTTTCACAATGCCTATAATTTCATAATGCCTAAACAGAAATTTTCAGAATAGAATAATAGTTGAAGTGGTTCAACTTTTAGACATTAAATTAATACTTTGGTAATGATGGGATAAGACATAAAACTTAATGAAAATTACTATAAATGCACGCACAATATTCAAATGAAAGTTGCTAGAATTACAAGAAACCTACGTCAATATCTAGTTATTATTAAATTAAATTAGAAATAATTATTCAACGTTATAAAACAACATCAAAATATAACTTCTCAGACATCTTCATCATAAGTTAACTCTGATTTGTAAACAATAAAATCTTAATTTATAGTATTTTTAAGGTTGTAAATTTATAAAAATAACATTTAAAAAAAAATACTCACAGATTTGGACTTGTCAGTTCCAAACACTACATTTGTTTTGCCTCCAAAAATTGAACCAAAAGAATTGGAATTATCTTGAGCTGCACCTGATGTACCAAAAGATAATTTAGAAAATGGGTTACTATTTTCCTTGGTGGTTTCTACTTTCACTTCTTTGGGTTCTTCAGGAAGTTTCAGTTTTGGTTGTGCTAATGAAAAACTGAACCCTCCTAAGTTAGTTTTGCTCTGTGAAACAGCTGGTTGAACATGGCCATCAACATTTCCAGAAAGCAGGAATGGTTTATTATTAGAAATTTCTACATTATGAGTAGTAGAAGGTAATTTAAATAGTGAATTTGTGAAAGTATAGCTGGTTTCTGTTGAAGAACCGAAACCTGTACTATTACGTTGCAAATTTTCAGGAACAGTTGTTTTATTTAATTCATTTTCAGGAATGGTATCAGCTAATGGTAAATCTTTGACATTTTCTAATTCCTTTTTAACATCATCAAATACTTTTTTGAAATCTGCACTGTCTTCTGGGGTTTTAAATCTTGCACAAAACTTTTCAACTCTCACTTCTTCATCAGCAAAATCATTCGCTACCCAAACCCATGCTTTATCAGCATTTGCTTTAGGCTCCAGATTAACATCAGGCGTGAGAAAATGATTTGCGCAAATCTTGTGTATTTGTTCTCTTCTCATTACAATTCTATATTTACCATTAACTTTATGCTTAAGAATTTTTAAAATACCCACTCCTCTTTCTTTCCATTCTGAATCAATAAATCTAAATAACTTTGCTCTCCTCTCAAAAAGAATTTCTTCTCCTTCTTCTCCAGTATTAACTTCTATTTCCTTTGGAAGCGGTACCAATGGTTTAAAGTCTGGCAATGGATCATATGCTGGTGGTGGTGTCTCTTCTTCAGTTCTTTCCTCTATGTTAATAACTGGTTTAGGCTGAGGTGGAAGAGGAATCTGAAAGTTATGCGGTACCCCAGTTAAGGTGCTTGATTTATTAAGAGGTGGTATGCTAACACTTAAAGGTGGATGTGGTTGATGGGATACAGATGGTATAGGTTCCGTAGGTAATACTAAATTACTAGGAATAACATTAGGATGTACAGGAGTTTTACTGGTACCAGGCACTCCTGCAATATGACTAAATGGAGCTTGAACCCCACCCTGATGTAATAGAGGCTGTGGCAACTTCTGACTACCCGGAGGAATTGCACGGAGGAAATCAGGTAACTGCTGCCCTTCACTGAATTGTAAAGCACCTTGGTTATAAAAACTTATGTTTCCTTGATAAAGTGGATCAAGGCGAGGTGAAAAATACTGATTTGCATATGGTATAGCAGCAGCTGAATTCTGAACCGCTCTTTGTGGATGTTGATAATATTGAGAATAGTTCTGATACTGCAGCATTTCATCTGTATAATCATCTTCTTCAAACATGTTACAAAGATCAGGTCTTTTAATGTCTTTTCTAATTTCAGCAATGTTGTTTTTTATTTCAGCTTCAAAATTATTAAGTCTATTAGTCAATCCATCAATGAGACTCCGTTGTTCAGAAGTTGAATTCTCAACTTTATCTACTATTAATCTAACTTGTTCTAATACTTGCTGCATTTTTAACTGGTTAGTCGAATGCTGAACACTGAGGAGGTCTATTAATTCTGACATGTTAAAATTGTTTGTTTTCTGCTCCTGGCAACAGAAAAAAAATTAATACACATTAGTATCATTCACATAAAATTAATGCATTGCCACAATATAGATTAAAACCAAAAACATTAGAATTCTAATATTTTGAGTACTCTGATTACATGAAAAAACTCACCAGTCCCAAAAAAAAATTCCTTTAAATTGTAAAAAAAAAAAAACTATTCCTGTTACCTTGATAATTTGAATTAATTTTTTTCTCATAGTCATATGAACATCTCAAAAAATAACATGTAAAAAAAAACGTTAATGCACCATAAATTAAAACACTGGACAGTTTTTCAGACTTAGGATGTTTACGTGTAAACGATCGAAATCACATTTTTTAAATAATAAAAAAAAGTTCATATTTTGCTAGTACGCTTTTAAGAATAACAGTGCCTCAGAGGTGTGTAATAGATTTAAACTAAATACTTTTATTCAGAGAGGACTCAGTTAGAGAAAAGACATTTCTTAGGTGGAAGTCATGAAGTTGAAAAAACTTTTTAAGCTAAAAAGTATAAAATACCCAAAACTATGAGGTAGGCTTGATGTAATGATGTTTTTACCCTGGTGAGATTGCTCTGTTTTCTAACACTTTTCTTAAATGCTAATTAACTTGCGAATATATATCAGAAAAAATTCGTGACTTCTTAAATTTTTATTGTTATAATCTAATATTCAAGAATGAATAAAAATTTTTGATTTATTTAAGTACTTAATTTAGTATTAATCTCTTGGGTTCATAATTTTTATATCTTACATCAGATTGGTAATTGGTACATCTATTGATAATCTCAATAATTTCAATATAATGAATGAAATTCCTATTCCGTTCCTTGACAATACCGATTTAAGGGATTCTACTATAATATTTGCCCTAATAAAAATAAAAAATACCTGCATTCTCCGAGGAGTACTAGTATGATGCAATCTATTACGATGTGTGGAAGACATCATCATATTCAAATCAGCAAAAGCAGGAGTACCACCACTGCCACCTGATAAACTGCCATCAAGAGTACCATTCGCATCTCTTTCAGATGTACCTAAGAAGAAAGTAATGAAAATTAGAGGAGAATGAGAATAATAAACCTAACATAAGCAAAACAAAAATTCAATGATTTAACATGCTACAATCAACAACCTACAAAATATACTCAGAATTCAAAAATTATATTGAGACGTATTTACAATATTTTTCTTTCAGAATACAATAAAAATATGTTAGTTGTTCAGATATGTTTCAGAATCGCTGTTAACATTTTTATAAAACTAGAAGTTTTGCTGAACTAAATTGCATTTTTTAGATTTTGAAGAGATGGGAATTAAATTACTTTAAATGAGAATAATTTTAGCAGATGTTGAACCAAGGAAATGGAATGTTTTGTGAATTTAAAATGTTTCACATTAATCAGTTCTCTATAGAACTCATAACTCAGATTAAACTTTATATTTTATTTAGATTGATGCTTACTCTCCCATATCAAACAATGATTTAATCAGTTTGGTAGTATTTATTCAATTTTTTTAAATTAAAAAAATAAGAAAATATCAACAATAAAAATAGGTAACTTCTTAGTTAGAGATCTGTCAGGGTTATATTATGAAAGTTGCTTATAATAAAGAGAATTCACCAAATTAGCCAGCGCTTGGGCAAAACCATGCATACCACATTAAGGTGTCAAAAAATACATAAAACAACAATAGATAAACAGGAAAAAAAAAAAAGAATAAAATGGATGTAAATAAACACAGGGGGAAAAATTGCATATTGTAAAATAATATTCAATTTGAATTATTGATGAAAATATATAAATTTTAATTAGTTTGAAGTATTTTAAAATAATTGGAGAAAGTTAAAAAATGGTAATCCACATAGTCTACTTAACTAAAACACCTTTATAAGTAGCATTTACAAGCTAGCAACTGTGATTATTTTTGCATTTTTTAAAGTTTATAATTAGTTCTTTATTTTAAATCTTGAACAGCCCTGATATATAGACCAATAATTTAAAATGCATGTTCAAATACAAACTTAATTTGAAAATTAAGACCAGTAATGACACGTTGAAACAAGGGTACTAATTTAAGTACCTAGGGGGCTCATCTGGATGAAAACGGCTTGCTGCGAAAGTGACAAACTTATTGTAACAGGAAGACTTTTAAGCAACACATAGGGGAGAGGAGATTCTTCATTAGATCAGAGCTTCAAAAACTTCATTCTGCATGATTGCTATCAGTCATTGAATGACTGTATTCAAACAACAATAGTCACAGTATTGTTCTGTATTAGCATTGAAACAGCATTTCACTACAAGGCCAGTAAAAATAATGAACGATGAAAGAAAAACATGACTTATTCTACCTCAAGCTTTCATTTTTCGGTCAGTACGCTTCTTTAAAATTTAACCAAAAAGAAGAAAATCAATTAACGAGACAGAAAATCAGTTTCGACCATTTTTGAAATGCGTTTCGAAAGATTAATATGAAAGCTTTTATTTATTTATAATTTTTAAAATAGCTTAACCTACATATGATGTTAATATGAAAATGAAAATTTGTAATACATAAGTAATTTGATTCTCTTTTTTTTTTTTTTTTTTCCATTATATATTTATTTGTTCTGCTTCCTCACTATCGAAGATAGGGAAGCATGCATTATAATCATACAGATTAACAAAAAATTGGTGCTCAGAATCAAAAATTTCCATTCGCTTTTTATGTTTCACACATCAAGGATGAAATTTGGTTTGAGGCAACGTCTGCCGTATCTGTAGTCAAATCGATATAATGGGCATATGAGGTACGACTGCCGTTTATCAGATTTTTGAAATTTCAGGGATTGTCCGGGTTGGAGCCTAGATAGCCTCATATCCATTTTATCAAATTCTATCCAGCACTTCCACTTTGCAGAAGCAAAAACATATTTTTTTAGATATGCCAATATTTCAGAAACAGATTATTTGATTTGGTTCAAAGTTGGATAAAAGGTAGGTTTTGGTGAAAAAATAATGAGTGTCAATTTTATTGAATTCTGTCCACTACATTCTCTTATACATGCGCAAACTTGTTTTCCTTCATATGTCTATATCTCTAAAACACCATGTTCAATTTGGCTCAAATTTGAAGAGAAGTTAGAGAGAGATTGGTGAACAGATAATCAAGTATTTATGAATTTTATTAGCCGTGGATTGACCTTGGGATCGGGAGACGAGAGAGTTGTGTGATGTGTGCACAGCTATTATCCGTTACAATCTCTTATTACTCCTTTAGTTAATTATCAAATTGCTTCATATTCTATATTTATCATTTTTTTATATTAAAGATTCATGTGAAATGGTTAATTATTTCAAATAAAAAAAAAATTAAAGGTAATTTAGAGGAAGCTAATATTAAAAATTTGCCATTTAAGCCCTATTAGAGAACATCAATGAAAATTAAATCTATATTAGATTAAAAACTGCTTAATAATATACTGATGTACTGAGTTTAATCAAAATCGTTACGAGCCATTTTGAGAAAATCATAAAAATTTATGAAATCGATGATATAAAGTAACAGTTCCGGTTAGGCAATTTTGATGAAAATTGCTGTAACATCACAGGTTTATAAAAACTTCAAATATGCAATTTAAGTTTCGTACGACTTTTCGTTTTTGAGCTGGGTTGTTCACAAACACATACAGACCATTTTGTGAGACTTGGTTATTTGGACTCAGAGGATCTCAAAACATGTATTTCCGTTGAAAACCCACATTCCATAATTTTCACGGATCTTACCAATACTTACCCTTACGATATTTTACATATATAGGTAAATGAAAGTTAAAATGAGGTTACAAAATGTGAAATTAATATGAACAGTAAACATACTATTTTCCGGTTCAATTCTGGCAAGCATTTCATCAATGTCTAAAAGTTTGGTCTCAATGCTTGAATAAAGAGGGTGTTTGGAATCGTTCCTTATTAGTGCCCTTACTTTCACCAAGTATTCTCTTGCTTTAGATGCTAAAACAACATGTCTGCAACGAATTTCAGAAGTAATTTCTTCACCTCTCAAATCTTCTACTTGTACCTCAGCCCACTTATGATATACCTAAAATTAAAAAGTTTTCATTAGGATAAGAAAGACAATCTTATACTTGAAAATAAATCGTTTCCATTATCTCACTCTAAGATATTAAAAAGTGCAATATCCCCTAGAACAGACATCTAAGGCTATATAATTGTTTTGTAAACTAATATAAATAAAACAAAACATAACATTTAGATAAAAAAAATCCTTGTATATACCAGCAGTAAGCATGAAGAGCTTATAATGTTAATAATAAGGATTGAGTGACTTTCTATTGTCCAACTAAATAATATTGGGTTAACTCATATAAAAAAAATAAAAATAAAAAAAAGATACTTCTTCAATAAAATAAAAGCTCAGAATCCAAAATTCATTGATACCACTCTGCACACTTCCCTTTTAAGCTTATAACCTCTTAAATTAGGTATCAATCATAAAGCATATTACATCGTCTAGTTCATAGGATTTATACATTAAGGACGCATTAGGTTTGGCAGTGATAGTAAATTTATTTATATTTTAGTGAGGGTATTTTTATTTGTTAAAAAAACACATAAATACAAAATTTGAAGATGCTGTAATCTAGATAATTTAATATTCATTAATTCCAGAGATTTATAAATACAGTGCAAAAACTCACAGAGGCTATTGGAAGCCACCTAGGTTTCCCACCTAAGTTGAATACTCATGTTAATCCTATATTTTTTCAATGACTTATTTCTATAAAGGAAAATTACATAATCTTATTGAAAAAAAAAAGTTATAAAATTCTTGATATAGCTGGGTCAAAACAAAACACAAATAAGTATAGTAGGTAAAGAAGATGAAAAACAGACATGTACAAAGAGAATGAATGGGTTTGAGAGTGACAGTCAGCATTGGGAACAGTGAAGATGGCCTGTTGCCAGCTCCCCTGAGGAGTCAGATTCTACCCCCTCCATCCCCCTAACACTGCCCTCACCACCCCCTTCTTCATCCCATGCTTGCAATAAAGGAGTGACTCAACTCAATTAAATTAAATGGCTACTTCATTTCATAGAAAATAAATTTTCTTGCTAAATTAAAGAATCGATAATATACAATAAAAAAAAAATTAAAACAATCACAATAAATAGTAATACATAATATAATTTTGAAGTAAATAAATAATTTATTACCATAGCTAAATTAAATATAGCCTGAGGTGATTTGAGAGTTTTAAATTCTTCTATTGCTTTTTCAAACTGATTTGTATTCATGTAGTGACACCCAATAAAAAACTTCGCCTCTTCTAATAATTTCTTAGCATCTTGTGAATTTAAATCTCTGCTGTATTAAAAACAAATGAGCTTTGAAATTATTACAGATAAAAGAAAAAATTAATAATTTAAAAAATGTTAAATAATAGTTTACACAGGAAAATCGAAGAAAGTATTTGTCTTAGCTGGCGAAATGAAGGATCTGTTCAACGCATAGCTCTCAAGAATAGGATAAACAAGCTTCCACAAATGCAAGGCTCTAGCTTGACAACCCTCAGACTCTTCATGTATCTCCGAAATCAAAGCCTGTAAATTAATTATCATACTTAAAAACATATTAACATAAAGAATTGAATAATCAACTAAAAAAATACAACACTTAAAATTTATAGGAGAAATAAATATCGTTATTGGATTATAAGATTTTTTTTTTAAATCTAGTGTGGCCTGCACAACTTTCACTTACCATAAACATTAAATATCTGTACAAATACAGCATTTAGTAGAAGGAATTCCGCATTACACATTTTTAGAGAGAGTTTCAGTTAAAGTTAGATGACCTTTTAAATAAGCATATCCACGTTGGCAATGAAAATCTTTCTTTTACCTCTACTAGTCTATTTAAATTACACAAATCCATTCTTCGATATACTAAGAAGTATTTGAAGATACACAGTTATCTCAAATCAAAAATCCGTAAGGATTGTAAAATGTAGTAATAACTATACAAACTAAATCTGCATAGAATAATTGTTTTCATGTAAAATTTAACAAAATATAATAACGAGGTTTTCATTGCTTACTGTTGATATATTATTAATTGTCACTAACCTAAGTATATTCAACCTGAAATATTCTTATTATATTAATAGATTAATCAAAACATAACGTTGTAACAGTTTTTTTTTTTTATTAAGAATAAAAATTCTGTTTTCAATATTTTTTTCTACTTTGATTTTTGATTAGCCATATCTGGACCAAGAAAAATTTTTTTTTTTCAGAAAATTGTAAAGTTATCCCATTCTTAACCACATTTAACTAGTTTTAGCACATTTTACGAATTGGGTACTTTCTACTAAATGCTGCTTATTTATATTCAATTAATTTAATCTATCATCAGCGCTAAAGAGATTAATCTAAAGTTATTATTATTGTATGAAAAATCGTACTAATTATTTTCAGTGGCATGCCACTTCATTTCTCTTTTAATTATGAAAGTATGATAAAATAATTTTTAAACAATTCCAGAATGATAATATGATGGAATTTAGGTTTTTAGATTGTCAAGCTCAAAAATGATTGTGAAAGTTTCATATAGTTTTCATGGAAATATTTAGCTTCCATTAAAAATATTTGTTTTAATTAATTATTATTCATAGTTTATTTCTCTGTCCATTATCTTCCATGACTCTGTATGTTACATATTAATGTAACTTATGTTATTACATATTAATTTTACATAATACATTACTACTCATTATACATCACTACTCATATTTCTGGGAATTATTCTTCAATCTTGGAAAATATTTCTCCTGTTATTAATTACTAAATTCTTCAATAGTTTATTTGTGTTTTAAAATACCATTCTTCATACGTAGAATGATACAGGAACATCTATTCCCCTAAATTTACACCTGTTTCAAACCTTTTTATATTATCTTTTCCCAAAACCTCCGGCATAATCAAATTCTTTTTTACTAATTACACACCATATTATTTTATTTTTACCATGAAGTTATATATTTATTTTATTTTAATATTTAAGATCAATTTCTTCATTAAATGTATTTTTTTGTTTCATTTGGAATTAAAAGCACTATTGTTCTCATTAAAAATTATGACTAATTAAATAACCATATCTACTAACCCTGGAAGCAAATGTCCTGGCAATTGCAACAATTAATAAAGGAGGTAAGCCTTCTCCTCGTATAATTTCCAAACCTCTCTGCAAAGTGAAGCGAAGATCAGAAATGTTTTCACTAGAATTGATTTCTGTAAATAAACCACCCCTCACTAAACTGCAAACATGTAGCCACCTAATAAAAAAAAGAGAAATAGAACCATGATTAATAAATTTTCAAAGAGAAGCACATCTTCACATTATATTATCTTAAATAATGATTGAATCATACAGTCTAGTGTTTTTCCAGAAGCTTCTTTAAATTTAATTTGTTTTTATATTATATTCATATACATTTCATAAATAATTCAACTGACCTTTTCTGGCAAGTTCCGATCAGTAAATTACCGATTTTAACCAATTTTGTTTTAAAATTAAATTTTGCTTTTGGATATTCAATATAGTAAAGATATTGAAAATCTGGTGTACTGTTTATTCTATCCACATATACCAATCAATTTCTTTTTTATGTAAATAAGAAAAAATATTGATATTATTAAATGAGATCAAATATATCAGAAGTTACAAAACCAAAAACGCTTCTAGTAACGTAGGCCAAGTAAATTGTTGTTATATAAGGAGCAAGTGAGATTCTGAATTAAAAAAAACAAGAGTTCTTGAGTGCCTTTAACATGATTAAATTTCTGGACCAGTTTCTTGTATGAGCTTACTTTGGTCAAGAAATTTGACATGTAACATGTATAAGGATTTTGTTAGGTTATGGGATATGTAACTACAACCATTAGACCTAGATTAACTTCTGTGACTTTAAATATTAGATACTATTTTTTCAAACATCTTCAACTTTCCAACAATGTATTATACAGCTATATTATGACTGTTATTTATTGAAATTGGATTTTAACCTGGGAAAAAATTCTCATTAGTTAATGATGGATTTATTTCATAGTTTATAATGCCACTTTTTAGTACAAATAACAATAAGTGAGACAGTTAATTATTCTAAATAAACCAAATTAAAGGTGCTTTTGAGAAAAATGTGTAGAAAATCTGAAATTTAACCTCGGTCAGTTTATTTCAATGAGGATTAAACCAAATTAATATTGAAAGAATCTAAATTGCACATTGATAACACAAGTTTAACCAAAATTAGGCTTGTTTTGGAAAAAAATAGTGAAAGTGCGTAAAATTGATGATTGACACTTCTGGTTAGTCAACGTTCGAGAAAACGTTGCTGCAACAATCAAATTTCACATACATACACACAGACCATATTTTGTGAAGCTAAATTATTTAAGACTGAGGGAACCTCAAAATGTGTATTTCCATTGAAAATTCAAGATTTGAAAATTTTCATAATTGCAATACTTTTCCTTACTATATAGTATATAAAGGTAAGCCAAAGTAATAAGAGTATCCAACAAAAGCAAAACCTTACCATTTTGATTGTTCTGAAGAGCACATCTGAGGAGAAATAACAGCGGGTAACACTTGCATTCTTTCCTCGGAGAGATAACCATTAGTTTTATGATTTTCTAAAACTGCAGCAGCACAAAAAACTGAAAAGAAAATTTTAAAAAGGAAAAACTTTTAAAACGGAAAAAAAAGTAAGAAATAAATGAAAATAGTCATATCTACAAAAAAAAAGAAGTCCTAAATCGGATAAGAATCCTATTAGTTTTGATTTTCTTTAATTAAAATCAAAAGTTTAAGTTAAAAATCTGTTGAACTTTGGCAAGGATTTGTTTATCAATAACAATGTGTTTATTATACTTTGTTAAGTTCAATTCTTACCAGTAGCATAAAGAAAAGAGTCAATATCCAACTGATTGATGGTTTCAACTCCAATATTGTTTAAATTACTTATGGTAAATTGTAAAGATTTGAAACAAGTAGTACGAAATGAAGGCAGCTTAATTTCTGAAATGGATGTTTTCTTTAACTGTTGAAGACCTAACCACACCAAATGATGGAGAGATCCAAAATAAGCATTTTCAAAGCTTGATACTGAAAAAAAAAAATTGAAAAATTCAATTAATACTGGCACATGTATTAAAAAAATGCATAACTATTTAATAACATGGGTTTAAAATCAGGTACAGCATGCACATCACACAACTTTCACTTACCACCCTACTTAAAAGACTTGATGGACACACGCTTGGGCGAGGGTCCTTAAGTGGCTGATTTGTATTGATAATAAGAGTGGACATAATTTCAATCACAATTAAAAATCGAGCTTAAACTACTTAAAATTATTTATAAGTAATACAAAATAGACTCATTCAAAAATATTTAATGTTCATTTTGATTTATGTAAGTTATTATCACAATAAATTAATGTTATGATGAAGCAAGTAAAAAATTAATTTAAATTAGCAATTTCAATTCAGTTTAAATCAATTTCTATGTAGAACTTCTATGTAAACAATGTTCTTTGTGAATGTTCTCTTTTTGTTTAGTAAGTAGCCTTGCATAAAGCCATTGGGAATATAAATTTCAAAACTTTATACGAACATGCTCTACTTACTGCCACATATAATTGTCCATGTGAAAATACTGGACGACCCAATTTTTCCAAAAGTTTGAACCTGCGATTTGTTTATGGTCATAGCAAACACAGCTATTACTGAAAACTGTGTTGTTTGAAATTCGGATGGAAGTATTGTCCCAGAAAATGTTTCATTAAATTTTAGAATTAAAATTCTTTTATTTACAGCAGCTCTGGTTAATACTTCATGCTCATTCGTGTTCCATTAACTAAAGCTTGTGCAGTATTAAGTTATGAATGAGCATAACAATAGAATTTACTTTTAACTTTAATTTATGACATGGCATTCCACTAACTTTCAATGATATAATCTGTTCAAATAATAATCTCAATAACTTCAGTAAACGTACATCTTTTTATTTCTTTTTTTATTCGGATTTTTCAAGAAATTAAGGAGAGATATGACTATTTTTCGCATGTGATGGAGAAGAATATCTTCAAAATGAGTGGTCAATCATTGGATCTGATGAAGAATTGACAAAGTTATGGCGTACCAAAAAAAAAACACCTTTTAGAAATAATATATAGAATAGAAGAGCTGTGTTGAGATAGTCGTCATGGCAACGACTTTACTTTTCATTATAATGTTTTTGCCTGGCGTTAACTAATACATTCGTAAGTCCTCAGGATTTTATCCTAATTCAAAGTATCTATAACCGTTGAAAAACTGAATTATCACTCTTAATACCGTATAAATAACTTTTTGATTTAACACGTCTATAGAGAGTAAATAAATAAAAACCTGTATGAGTTCTAAATTATTTAGGAAGGTACAGTTTGTGCAGTTTATAAGGCCCTATATCCCTGCAAAATTTCGTGTGAATAGGTGGAAGAATATTGAACTAACACTTTTTATGATTTTCGAAAAAAAAAATCAAAGGGTGGTTGGTGCCTTAGATCAAATTTGTAGAAAAAAAAATTTATTTTTCGATCGCAATGAAAATTCGTATTCGAGGGTCTTTCGAGCTGAGAAATACAAATCTCATCTCTGTTTCACCTTAAAAAAAATATTTCAACACACTTTACTCCTTTGGTCTGTACAAATTGTTTAAATTTTACAAATTTGTAAAAGATTTTTACATTTTTTTTTTTTTTTTTTTGTTTTGCAGGTAATTTAGTAATCTTTCTAATTATCATGGGTACAATAAAAAAAATTTTAAAAATGCATACTTTTGGCGTTATTTGTGAATAAAATTTCTTTTCCTTCATAACTTTATTTCCAGAAATTTTGAGAGGATAGAAATGTTTTTCGCATATGAAGGAGAAGAATATCTTCAAAATGAGTGGTCAATCATTGGATTTGATGAAGAATTGACAAAATTATGACGTACCGACAAAAAAACCTTTTAGAAATAATATATAGGATTGGTTTCCATAAATCTTATTCATCTGTTTCCTCATCAATCTTAACTATCTTCTACATTATATATGAAACCAATTTACCCCTCGAACTCTCATATCGGATAGCTCTTGTTCTTCCTAGTGCATTCGATGTAGAAGAAACATCAGTGAAACATGCTAATTAGCATATACGATATAATATTATCAAGATAGTCTATTCAACACATAATTGGTGAAGCTTTATACTTTACTATTACAGTTAATAAAACAATTTACTTAATAAGTGATAAGCTTATCATACTGGAAAATATCCCTCAAGTTTAATAATTAAGCAATAAGACACTGCTATCCCTGAACTCATACTAATACCTACAAAATTCCTGATTAGAAGATATCCTGTATTTAAACATCAAGATCAGACTTAACTCAGTCCTCTTATCTACGTTTTGGTCTACTCAATTGCTCATCAACTTAGTATTGATTACCCATTTACCATTTACCGATTCTGTTGTTTGTTCATTTTTTTTTTTTTTTTTGTTTTTTTTTCCTTCCTATATTTTTATTTTTAATGAGATATTATTTTGTAAATTTTTAATTTAATATATGGCCACGCAGGAATTTTCTCTGTATTTATTTATTCCAAAGGAACAACAGCCCCAGGATAATAAAAAATATTTTCATTATAACTCATTTTAATCACCACAATGCAATCTCTCTCTCTCTCTCTCTCTCTCTCTGATTCAGACTTTATTAACACTTTTCAGGCCATGGTGTCGTCAAATGGATACCACTACTTTGATTTTTTTTTTTTATTTGTCTTATATTATAGAGTAGTTAATACTGCCATCTGGTCTAGTATAGTCTTCTGTTTTTTTCGACTCTATAATGAAAGAAAAATTAAAAAAAAAAAAAGTAGTGGCCTGAAAAGGGTTAATGTTTCAAATATGCAATTCCTTACTAGATTAACAAAGAAGCTGATAATTAATAATCATGAAATTTTAAAAATTTACCATATAAAGAAGATCTGAAACTATTACTGGAAGGCATCTTCAATAGCACCTTAGAAAACTCAACTCCGGTCATGAAATGTGAATTAGAAGCATTGCATTGTTTAACATCATGAAAGCATTTCTGAAAATTAAAATATGTAAAACAGTAATAGTATAATTGTCAAATAAAATATATAATATACTATAATTATGATTGATAAAAGTATTTTGTAAGAAAGAAACAGCTTTAAACAGCTAAGCCCAGTCTTAGATCATTTACAAAATATGTAAAACCCACCAATTTTCTCAAAACTTGTGAAAGTTGTTCTAGGTAGTCATTTGTAACATCTCAATAACAGTTATGTATACTTTTCATGTACCATACCAACAGAATTATTACTAAAAATAGAATGGACTCCCAAAATAGAAACATTTTAGAGTAATTAGATGGTATAATTAACATAACCTGTTAATAATATACAGTAATGTTATAGTTAATAAATAATCTCAGATAGCTCCAAGGAATAAAACAACAAAATTTGAATGTTAATTTATATAGCATTTCCAAGTCAATTTCAACCTTTTCCAAGTCAAATTCAACCATTTTCACAAATAAATAAACTTTTCCAAGGTCAAATCAACCCTTTTCTCCATTTCAAATTAAAAACATTTTCCATTTAAAATTCAACCTTTTTTTTATTTATATAATTATCTTTAATTTTTCGAAGCTTGGTTCTGTACGTATGTGATGTTTTTTTTAAAAAATAACCTCCTTTATAAATTACGTGACTGCGTTTTCGAAATATATAAGTTTTTTTGACTATTCGATATAAGGGTTGAATTTATATGTTTCCCGATCCTTACATTTTTAAAAGACACAAATTTTTCTGTTTTACGCCACTATTGTGTAATTATTATTTAAGTTTTTAGAATTTATCCAATATAAAGGTCTACATTTTTTGGGTTCTGGGAGCCGTAGATTTGAAAACTACCTCCATTATAATGATAATTTCCTACCGCGTTTCGACTATAATTGAGTTTTTCGGATATTTTTACTTACATGAGTTGTATTTTTTAGTATCCGGATCTGTAGATTATGAAAAATGACACTCCAATTTTAAGATGTAGGCCACCGCTGAAATCGACTTATTATGAGTATTTTCTGATATATTAATTCATATGAGGAGTATTTTATGTCCCGAGCTGTATATTTGAAACTGACTCCAATTTAAGATAAGGCCACCGCGTTTCGACTTATTGAGTTTTTTCCGGATAATATTTATATGAGGGTGTATTTTATTATTGTATTCCGGAGTCAATAGATTTTGAAAATGACCTCCTTTTATGATTACGCCACTGCGTTATTGACTTATTAACCGTTTTCGAATTTATCCAATAATTAATGTAACTTTAGGGGATTCTTGACCGTAGAATTTGAAAATGTACAACTCCATTTAATGATGAACGCCATTGCATTTTGACTTTATTTTAAGTTTTCGAATTTATCCAATTTAAAGCCTACATTTATGATTTCCGGAACCGAGATCTGAAAAAGACCTCTATTTAATGATTAAAAGCAACTGCGTTACAACATAATCTAAATTTTAGAATTAACAAGTATAAAGGTCTAATATTATTTTTCATGATCGTAGATTTCCCCCAATTTATAAATGACCGCAAATAAAGTTTAATTCCACTGTTTTGGAATATTAAAAGTTTTTTTTTTACTTTTCGGTATAAGGATCTACTATATTTTATCCGATACTATTGAAATTTTATCTAAATCTTTAATAATTAATTTATCTAATATTTAAGCTCCATTTTAATGATTCAAGCCGCTGCATCTTGATTAATTAGGCTTTCATTATGGGATTTTTCAAATACAAAGTTTGATCAATATGTTTCGAGTAATGAATAAATAAATAAATTTTATGAATCTGAAGAAAATAACCACAGAATACAAACAAAAAAGCCGAAAAGCAACTGTTATATATTAAACTCCGTATTCAGATTTTCAGCTAATTTGTTCGAAATCTATATAATTTGTGACAGAGACCACAACAATAAAACATAACTAAAATTAAATTAAAAAGAACAATACACTATTTTTTTTTAATTTTGATGATATTTTTATTTATTTTATTGAAAAATAAATTAATCCTTCGTATTATGTTTTTCATTCTAAGGAAAAATAAAAAACACCATAACAAAACCGACACACATTGGCCTAATCTAAAAATGGTAAGTCGATTTAAAAAATAAAGGCTCCGGCAATCATAAATAAGACCATTAAATTGGATAACTTCGAAAAACTTAGAATAACCGAAACGCAGTGGCGAATCTTAAAATGGAAGGTCATTTTCAAAATCTAACGACACCGAAACATAAGAATAACTCATTTATGATAAAAATTCGAAACACTTAAAGAAATCGAAATGCGTGGCCAATTCATAAAATGGAGGTCGTTTTCAGAAATCTACGGCTTCCACGGAAACATAAGAATACATCCTCTATATGAAAAAAATCCGAAAAAACTCAAAGAAATGAAATTTCTGTGGCTAATCTTAAAAAGGATGTCGTGTTCGAAAATTCTACGTCTCCGGAAACAAAAGAAATACATCCTCAAATGAAAAAAATCCGAAAAACCTCAAATAAGTCGAAACGCGTTGGCCTAATCTTAAAAATGGAGTACATTACAAAATCAACAGCTCCGGAACATAAAAATACACCCTCATAGAGAAATATATCCGAAAAACGCAATAATACTAAACGCGGAGTGTCCAAATCTTAAAATTAAGGTCGTTTTTCAAATCAACTGCTCCGGAAACTATAAAAGTAGACCTTTATATTGATTAAATTCAAAAACTTTAATAAGTTCAAACACAGTGGCGAAAACATAAAATTTATGTCATTTCAAAATTTACTGATCGGGAAACATAAAAAAACATCCACATATCGAATTTTCAAAAAAACTATAAATAATCGAAATGACAGTACACGTAAATCTTAAAATGGAGGTTATTTTTAAAACTATGTACAGGACCGCATAATAATAGTCCCTTAAAATCCGAATAGTACAATAAATTCGATATCCGTAAGTGAAAATCTACTTAGGAAGAGCATAATAATAGAACTTCCAAATTGTGAGGGGGGAGGGGATGGCCATTATTATAAAAAAAAAAATATAAAATTTACAAAAACATAAAACATTAAGTTTGAAATGAAAACGGTTTGAATTTGATTGGAAAAGGTTTAATTTGAAATGGAAATGGTTGACTTGACTAGCAAAAAGATATGATTTGTCAGAAAAGTTTTAAATTTACTATGAAAAAGGTTGAATTAGACTTGGACATATTATATAACCCATAGAAATATCACACTGAAAAAATCTAAAATGTTTAAAATAAAATGGATATTTCACTGCGTAACAAATTTTTTTTTTGTAATTATTTTAAAAAGCAATGCCTCTAAAAATAGTAAATGTCCTTCATTTCGAAAAAAGTCGAAAATAGACAAAAATTCAAAAGTTAATTTTGAAATGGAAAATTTTGAATTTTGACCTTGAAAAGGATGAATTTGAAAGGAAAAGGTTTAATTTGACTTTGGAAAAGTTGAATTTGATTTGGAAAAGGTTGAAATTGACTTGGAAATGCTATATACATTGTTTAGAATAAACAAAAAATTTACTTATATTTATTTAGAAATTTTAAGACTTTTCTCCAAGTAATAATTGTTAGCTTTTTCTATCTCACTCATACAAGGTTTTGGTAAGAAAATTTGAACTTTGTAAGGTTCAAATAGCTGTTCCTTCCTAAAATTTTAAGTAAATCCCTCACTACATATATACTCTAATGAGTTGTAAATGTTAAGTATCGGAGAGCCTAGCAACTAACTAACCTACCAACAGACCTTATATGCAGTAGACCTGGCTTAAATCTCCAAAAGCTGATCATTGTGACTAACGCTTTTCTATATTTTTTGATTTGATTTTTGTCATGTGCATAGAACATGAGTGTGAATGAAATATAAACAGAAATTAATTTACTTATTATTGATTCACAAACCATACACTCTACCATGGCACACATTGAGACCTAGCATACAGCAAGACAGTACATACATCTCTGTCAGCTCACAGGTGTCAGTCGGACATGTTTGGCAGTGCATTATTGTATCTGATTAATATCGTATTATACCCGCTACTATTAAACATGTCATAAAAACTGAGTTATCCTTTACTACTTCTGAATGTACAATAGACTTTAGCATTTCACAATACAGCCTCTGGCAGGACCTACATAATTTTGTCACAGATTGGGAAGCTTAGTAATTTTTTATTTATAAAAAGTTTGGGGATGATTGGCAGTGGGAATGATTGTCCACATGCTCCAAGGTTTCATCATTCTCCTTCAAGTTATTCTATTCTTTAAAGGGCATTAAAAAAAACTGTAGGGTAACAAGTCTGCTCTATAAAGAGATTGTCGGATGCTTTGCCAGCCCATTTCTTCCATTTTAAAAAAATCAGGCACTGTCATGAAGAATTGAAGCCAGACATCACCACGGAGAAGAATGAAATCTCTTAAAGAAAATACCCCATATTTTTCTGTGGCAAATGGGTAAATCAGCCTAAACAGAGTTATATGTAAGACTAGTTCTTGGGTGTCAATTATGAATTTCAATCACGGCTTTTTCTCACTTAGTAACAAATTCTCTGACCAACATATTATTTGTCATTTCATAAAAAATTATTTTCAATTTATCACATTTAATTTATATAAAATTTAACAATCCAAGTGCTTACTAGTACGAAAACTGAGAAAGTTTAGGTCTCTGAGACATGGCACAAATATAATATATTAATATTTATGGTTTTAAAAACATATTATACATGAAAGTATGGATTTCAGTGGTTTCATCCTGAGATGGTTTTGTAGTTTCTTGACTACCGACTACAAACTGATTGTTGTCAAAGTTAATTACAAACAATGAAAAATTGAATGAATATCAACAGTTCAACTTGTAAAATTCACATCAAAGATACATGCTATGCTATTCATGATAGGATAAAACAATAACCAACAGTTAAAAAAAAAAAAAAGTTAACATAAGTTAACTTTTAAAGAGTTTCTTATTAATTACTTCTAAATTGAAAATTAAAAACATACCTCAAAAATTTGAGATCGCCAATCACCACAAATGAAATGACTTACTTTGTCAATAAACATTTTTTCTGAATGATTTTCTTTAGAAAGATTCAATAAGACATAACCTAAAAAAAAAAGTAGACATTAGAAATTAAGCTTAAGTGAATTTTTCTTTTAAAAAATTAACTTTTTAAAGAGTGATGTTTTACAATAAACGAGTAGATATAATTTACCAAATTATTAAATTTTACTTCAATGAAAATAATAACTAAAATTAAGGGATTTCAATAATAGAAAATTTGATCAATACATACAACAATAATTTCATTAAGCAAACTAACTAAAACTAGAGGGTAACCTTCATATTCTTAACAAATAGGAAAGTTAAAAAAGAACCTCTTTGAGTCATATTTGTAATTCCATAGATTTTAACATTTCCCCTCCTTACATAATTATGTTATCTTTTAAAAATATATATATATATATATATATTACAATACATTGTCGGTTTATTGCACAAATTCAATAAGTGACATTTCATGACCTCAAATAATTAAGAACTTTAAAGAATTTTCCCTTTATAAAATCAGAACATTGTACAAAAGGTTCATTTTCATGCACTTAGGTGTTTTTCTGTAAATAAATAAGTCAAAATTAACCATAAAATAATTAAAAGTTGACCTATATTAAAAATGCACTTAGCGACGTTTTGCAATAAACTGGCGATATGTTATCTTAATAAAACAATATTACAATGAATAAAATAGATAATATTTTAGTAATTTGATAATGTATTTGTCTTGATATTTGTTGGGATGAAGGGTTCTTTTCCCAGACTTTTCTTTCAAGGAAAAAAAGTAGGTGATACAAGAAATAAAGGAAGGTGTAAGGATGAAAAGAAATGAAATAAAAATGAAACCTGTAAAAAAAATTAATAGCTAAATAAATGCACGCAAAACTAAACAAATATCAAATCAATTAATGATCAAATCAGTAACATAAATAATTCCCTTTTCGAATGTTTACAAATATATTGAATAAAAATATGAATATATATACAAAAGTTTAAAAAAAACAAAAAACGATGATACAAAAGTAGTGAGCGTATTTTCAATGAGTATTATTAAAAACCTGCATTATTTTTGTATAAACCTGAAGTATTTTATTCCCTTTCCTGTTTATCATTTTATTTATATAAGTAATATTTACTGTGCATTTTATTATAATATTTACATATAAATTTGAAAACTATTGGACCTAGATATGTATGTATGTGTATAAGTTACAGTGAGAAAGAATATCAATGAGTTGTCAGTATAAATAAGTTCATAATTAAATATATTAATAACTAAGAAAGAACATACCTGCTTGAACGATTCTGCAATTGGAATGATGAACCCAGGTGTTAATGAGTTTTTTGAAATTATCTTTAATCGAAGCAGTCCAAGATGCGTCACTAACAGGAGGAGGTAATAAAGCCAAGAAAAACAGAGGACTCACAAGCTTTTTTGTTTCTTTCCAAAAGGTTTCCTAAATCATTGAAAACAATTAATAGTCATTGTTTGATTTACATCCATATTTTTTGTATATAATTATTATCAAATATCATTGTACATCAATTGGTATTATATATCACGTATTTATTATTTGCTTCGAAATAATACCACGGGGGCTCCCCCCTCTTCCCGGTCTCATCCTGCACTACCCCCTCTCTTAAGACGGCCTTATCTACGCCTAAGGGTCAGATGCTAGCGAACGAAGTACAGAACTAGACGTAACCAGACCTCAAGAGTTACAGCCCTTCGGCTACACCAGCTCCAGGACCCTGGACGAACGGCGGATAGATAGGGAGAAGGCGCGAGACCGGCCCCCTCATCAAACTGTACGTAACCATTTTTATTTATTCACAAGTATTCCTCCACATAACATTTATTTTTATATATCACAAGAAAAGGGCTCCCGGGCATATGGCATGTACCGGGCCCCCCAATATTTTACAGTCATAGAGATTATAACACATATATACAATAAAAAAAATAATAGATAATTACCTTTTTGGCTTTTTTCAACAAGAGAACACCTAAGTAAAATGGCAGTTGTGATGAAATATACTTTAAAAATTCTTTGAATACTTCAGGACCTTTTAGAGATAGCTTCGCTTGATGTATAGTCTGGTCTAAGCTAATAACAAAATGAATAAAATTTAAATAATTTAAAAATAATATAAATAATGAAGGAGATGGTCTGAAGATCGGCCATAAAAAACATCAATAATTGCTTATTATTTACCCTGTGCCAACTTTTTGACCCACATTGTATGTCTTCATTAGTACTAAAAAGCATGATTCAAAATAAGTGAAACTATTATAGGAGCAAAAAAAAAGATAAATAGAATTACTGATTTAAATATTAATGAATAAAACTATAAATAATAAAGTTAAAGATGGAAAAACTACTATACTCATTTGCAAATCAAGTTGATCATTACGTTAACTGTTTATAAAATTGAGAGGAATCAATATTTTTCCGATTAGACATCTATTAATTGTTTATACTCGCAATGGGCTAATTGATTTGAAATATAATCTCTCAAACATAAACAGAAAAGGGGATTAACCTTAATTTAGTTCGTTTATAGTTTGTGTTCACTTCATTTTATTCAATTTTTAATATCTTTCAACTTTTCTTAAAAATCTTTTTTTTGGTACGGTAAAGAATGTCTGCACAACCTCTTACGGCAGTAGAGCTAGCAACGGCTGTAGCAGCTTTGAAAGGAGATGATACCCAGAGAAATGTGGCAGCAAGGCTCAGAACTTAACAAAGTGTGGTAAGTTGTCAATGGAACCATTACCAGAACAGTGGTTTCTTTTGATATACACATGGTGGAAGATGTCGAAGATCTACCACAATATAACAAGACCAATATTTGGCTATCCAGCCTCGAAGGAATCACTTCAACACTTAGCTTAGACTAGCTATTGATTTGTTTTTGTCTTTAATGTTCAAATTAGACTTCCCAGAGTTAGTAGAAGGATGATAAAGCATGGATCGCACCAGTCACGAACTCTGCACTTTCCAGAACTCAGCCCAAAACATAAAGTTCAAAGACTTCAATTCGCTAGGATTCACAAATAATCGGAGATGCCTTAAGATAGCACCAAAATGCTAATGAGAAGTATGTCTCATCATTTATATGCAGTAATTAATAGTTGAAGCAGATCAAAAAGGTACTAAAAAAAATTGAAAAAGTTTTTCAAAATTTCAAATTTATTTAATTTACTTTTTAATTTCTAAATCCCAGAAAACCAATGTCAAAAGTTATCTTTTAGAAAATTCCAATTAATTACAAAAGACTCATATAAATTACTATAATAAGCCCTATTTGGATTTACGGAGTTGAGCTATGGGGCGCTCCACTAAACCATCAAATTCTTCAGGTATCCAATCCTTACAACCAAAATCCTTTGTAAAATCAGCAATGCACTATCCTACTTTGTTACAAATAAAACCATCCATAATGATCTTAATCTTAATGTTTCAGATCTGGCAAGATCGAGATACCTATCCTTCTATAATAAACTTCAGAATCATCCCAACCCTCTCATTTCTAATCTTGCTTCCTCTTCAGTTCCTTATAACCCTCCGAGGCGTCTGAAAAGAAGATGGCCCCGTGATCTCCTAATCTAGATATATCATTAGAGTGCTACCTTTGGGAAGTTTCTCAACAAGTGTTTTCACATCATTATATCCATATGTTAACATTTATTTCTTTAATGCAGTTGTAAATATCATTAAGAAATAAAAACTAAAAAAGGTGTTTTACCTTATTTTGAATGATCCACTTCATTTGCATAAGAGTATATATATTAATCAACAAAAGAAATTAATAAAGTAATATGACTAACCAATACATTGACCAAGTTATAAGGCATTGATTAGTAGTAATAATAAAATAAGAGTTAACACATAAGAAAATTGGAAATAGTTAAAAACAATGGCACTGAAAAGTAATGAGTGATAACTAATAAGTGAAATAACTAACTGAAATAAATATTAATGGATAGATTAAAATAATTGATGAAAAAATATGCTCATGAAATAGCAGCCAATATCAATCAAAACTAACTATATCTATTCCTCGATAATTCACTAATATATTATATTTATGTGTTAGCACTTACCTTATAAAGCATTTCTAATTTAAAATTACTGCAGTAAACTCATAATAGACAAATTTTAAACAAAATAAAATTATGTAATAAAAACTTATCACTTATTTATTTAAAAAATAGCTGAGTAATGTTCATTTCATACTTGTAAATACATTCTGTGACTTCAGATATGTCAAATATGCTAGATGTTTCTGATATACAAAAAGAGCACATGCGATCAAGAACTGAAATCCACTGTAGGTAAAACTCCCAGTTACACTTAGCAAGATTGTCTCTATTATAAACCTAAAAAATAAAACTTTATAAATTAAAAGTAAAAAAGCAGCATAAAGTGAAAAGGAAGAATAGGTACTTTGAAACAATTAATAACACAAACTACATTAATATAGTAAAATGAAATTAGCTGAAAAATTGCTGGACAGGAGAAAAAAAATGTGGTGCGTGCATCACACGACTTTCACTTAGCAGAAATAAGTATTTTCAGATAAGTATTTTCTCTATTATAAACCTAGTCAGATACCAGCTAACTATTAACATTATATATGTATTGTGTAGCAATCATATAATCATACGATAATACTTTGTAAGAGATAGTACAAGCATTTCCTACTTTCGATGTAGGAATTTCAATACATCTATTTTTTTTACATCTACCTTTAAAAAAACAGGCTAAACGGCATTTTTTTCAGACTCAGGAGGCTCTGAAACGTATAGATCCGTCGAAAACCACATATCGGAAATTTGACCCGATTGCAATACTTTCCTTACCTAGTATAGGTAGGAAAGTAATAAGTTAAAACATGTGTAAAAAATAAAATAAGCTGTATCATTGCTAATACTGGTTCATTTCCGATGATTTTCCTTTTGTTTAGTTGGTAATTTAATTACCTTTCAAAAGTTTTATTATAAATTTTACCGTATAATATATAGTTAGGGAGTTAGGCCCCATAACATTTTTCTTTTCTTTATAACTTTTATTCCTGAATTTTCTCGGGAATTTAGTCCATATATGAAAATTGAAAGAACAATTATTAAAACATAGGAAAGTTTCATCAAAATCGTTAGAGCTGCTTCCGCACTAGTCTAAAGAAAAACATGTTTTTCACTTATTGCGCGCAAGCTATTGGGCATGGAGCACCGAATTTCTGTCACAGGCATCAGTAGTCAAAACCCTGCAAAATAAAAAAAGAAACAACAAAATCCTTTCAGTAGTTCCCGAGAAAATCTTGGCACAGACAGATAGACAGACAGACCAATGGCTAAAAATGTGTTTTTTGGACTCAGAGGGCTCTGAAACGTATAGATCCGTCGAAAACCGCATATCAGAAAAATTTGACCTGATTGCAATACTTTTCTTACCTAGTATAGGTAGGAAAGTAATACATTCTCTTCAAAAAAGGTCATATTTTTTCTATAAACTATAATTTAGAAGATAATTTAAAAATAAATTAAACTGCTGAATTTTTTTTTCAATTTTGTTAATCATTTTTTTGTGAGCTTGATTTATTAAAACGGAAGGGACAGAAGAAAAAAATTTGATACTCCGAAAAAGTACTTCTTCAACATATAAAAAAACATAAATGCAGTTAACAAATTTTATAGTCTTGTACAAAGAAAAGAAGGTACTATACCTTACAAATGTCATTAATACATCGATACCACATAAGTGAACTATGACTTTGCCTGGCTTCAACTTCAAACGCATGATTTAGAGCTAATTCAACCCTTCCAGATTCTGCATACAATTTCAACAGTTTTATACGAGTATTCATATCAGTTGGCTTTGTTTTTAATTCAGCTAAAATATAAGGAAACAGATTATTAATCTAAGTGAACAACCCTAGAAAATATATATTTACTTCAAGTAAAAATTAGTACCAATTTAGAAATTAAATTTAATATAGTTTGTTTTGTATAATGAAAACAAATATCATGAAGCAATTTTATTCTAATTAAAGCAAAATTAAAAATACGAAAGTTTATCAACAATATAGCTAACCAAGTATTACTAATGAAAACTTCATAAAACATTAAAAAACGGTAAAATATGAAAAAGAAATAAAAATGTTGCTTTGAGTAAATAATTACCATGAAGCAGCTCTTCTAAATCTTCAGAGGCGAGAGAAGAATCTGACATCATAAGTTTTTCTTTTAACATGAAAACTGGAGTTGAATGTGGAAATAGTAAAGAAGCTCGGTCAGACCAATAGCGAGCTAACTGTGGATCAAATTCAACATCTTTATCGATTAACAGTTCACAAACTGAAAAAACGAACAATAAATTAACCATTGATACAGAATATAATTGATAATGAAATATTACAACAAAATATTTTTCTTTTTAGTACTTTTGAGAATTAGGTCTGATTGATCAGATTCTAATTTTAATGATTTCGAATACGAAGCGATGGCCTTGTCTTTTTGGCCTAGTTTTTCATACGCCTGTCCAAGGAGTTTATGGGCAGCAGCTGAATCATCCCTTACAGTCAGATACATAGTCGCATATCGCTGGGCGGATTCAAAATCATGAGCTTTATAGTAAAGCAAAGCTATATTGTAACATCTCAAGTTACGCTGAAACAGAAGTAATTAAAATTAGAAACCACCTAACATTTACAAACAGTATTAATTTAGAGATGGACATACATGATTTATACAATTCTATAATAAAACAAACTTAAGAATGAAATGAACAAAACTATAAATAAACACATAAAAAAACAACATATTCCGGTATTCTCTGACAAAGCCCACAAAAGGTTCTTTGGTCACAATGTAAAATTTAGAGTTAGTAAAACACAGGGTTACTTATTAAGAACTGCATGACATATTTTACAACACAGAGTGCATACCCATTTGAAAATTGGAATTATTCAAGATAGACACATTATATCTATCTTTATAATTATATGAATGGGCTGATACAATAATGGCACAAATTAGTATAATTTATAATGATGTCAATATCATTTATGTAAAGTTGGTCTGTTTTTGGTAAAAGAATCGCTATAAATAGGTCAAAACCCTTCATATCATTAATTATGGATCTGAAGGGATCCAAAGTTTAAAGGATTCATATTCATACCAAACCTTAAAGGATTCATTACTGTTCAGTGGAGGATGTTATCGGGAACAGGATAGTTCAGTGGTAGGGCACTAAGCTTCCAATGGCCAAGGTCACAGGTTTGAATCCCGGCTCATGGCAGAAAATTTATTTATTCTGTTTCATTGGCCATGGGGCGACACTGGGGTGGAGCAGAGATGGGCATATTTATATTAATAAATATAAATACCATTTATATATATGGCACTTTTTAATATAAATATAAAGATATTGTAATATACGCCTTTATTGAAAGTGGGTAAAAATGATTTAATAAATTAATGTTGAACAATCAAAAGGCAAGCTAATCTAGTTCTACTAGTGCACGGAAAAGAAAATGGCTACTCTGTAGTTTCTCAAGAAGAAAAATCCCAAAGAGGAGAGGGACAAAGATTTTTGTTTTGGCAAGTAGTTGGTGTGTGGCTGTAGTGAAGAGAGGATAGGAGAAGGGACCTGGCTCCAGTAGCAGTATTACCATTTTGGAAGTTGTGTTTGGCAGAACATTGGAAAGCATTTGAAGACAAATGAATTTAGTGCAACAAAGAAAGAAACAGTATATATAGAAAAAAGGTTAGCTTGCCAATTCATATTTGACTGTATTTTAAAATCAATCAGTGTTTAATTTTAGTATAAATAGTGTAAATAATAATAGTTTGTCTGAGTTGATCTGATTGTCAGTAACCTACACCTGAGATAAATAAATATATTAATTGTTTATTATTACACAACCTCTTATTTATTTAGGAAGTATCCCAATGGTAAGAAGTGAGCTTCCAGTGAAGTGAGGTTATATTATTATTATTTGTCAAATATAAGAGGGATGTTACAATATACAGACGATAAGTATTCACAAATGCAAATATAAATACGGCCTCTTAAAAGTGAATACGGCTGTATGTTTAAGAGATTTATTTAATAAACCCCTTACTGTCCAGAATTTTATTTTAGTTTTTTTTTTTTTTTTTTTTTTTTTTTTTTTTTTTGGAAAATATCTAAATTAACAAACAAATTAATATTTATTTAATAAATAAGAGTATTCATTAAAAGATTGTGTGAAAATATTTCCATTAACTTCTGTAAATTTAAGCGTATTACTTTTAATAAAGGTGAATACAGCCGTATTCACTTGCACATCTGTAAATACAGCCGTATTCACTTTTAAAGTGAATATTTATATTTACAGCTGCGAATACGTATCATTTGTATTCATGTTTCTTTTTATGAATATAAATATAATCATATTTATATTCAAAAGTGCCATAAATATAAATGGTATTCGGATTTATATTTTTGAATATAAATATGCCCATCCCTGGGTTAGGGAACCCTCCTCGGGCACACCCAGCCTCTACAAAGTGGGTACCTTTAATTACATAATTAATTAACAGGAAAAACCTGGCCCGATCCCCTCTCTGCACCACCGTTGGCCTTGAAACAGTACTTTCCCTAAGTAGTACTGAACCCAAGACCCTTCATGGGTTATAGTGGTACAATTAACAAAGGAGAATGTAATCAGCAAGTCAGTGGTTGATTCAGAGCGATATTCACCCAAAAATAGCTATTGAGAAAAAATATGCAAACAGTCAAGTTCAAAATATACCTACTAATAACAAAACTCTTGAATCGCTGTGATAAACTATCATCGTTTGATAGAGGGAAACTAACCTTGACTTGCCTTGCGAAATCAATCATTGATCAATCAATGAAATAAGCTACAACTTATTCTAACCAGAGTAGGAAAATATAAATTTATTTTGCGAGTCTGCTACAAAATCAATTTCAACAAGATTTAAATAACCAACCATCGATATTTAGTTCCCAAGTTTTAAAAAGTATGCTTTTATCTTAAGCAAGTAATTGCCTTGTTCCTAGGAATTCAATGATGAAATTTGGATCATAATCTCCCAGTTATGAGACATGATATAAAAATAAAAATCTGAGATATGTCCCTGGAAACAAATATGGGCCTCTCAAATAATGAAAATGACTTTAGTTAAATCTATAAAAAGCTGCAATAGATATATACAAGCTGGTATGATGATATTGAGAGGTCTAGACTTGAAACATCATATTAAAAATCATATAATTTCTTTAAAATCTATACTATGACACATTCCACCCATATATTAACACAGTAAAGGCAGGGGATCTTGACGAAAGTATGGTAGTCGAGATAAATCGTAGTACTATGACTCCCACCTTTAAGCAGCAGTCGAGATAAATCGTAGTACTATGACTCCTGCCTTTAATGTGTTAACCGATAGGATTTAAATGAAATATATGGTATTACTGGTGTCTTGCTTCACTCTGATGGGTGGGCACCAGATCTCATGATCACACTATAAATGGAATTTTGAGAAGACAGAGTGTATCCAAAAGTAGGTGACTGAACTGTCTGAATCTCAATAGAAAAGGAACCATTGGTGGTTTGCTTATCCTTTTTGAGAGAGATTAGCGAATAGAAAGTCAATGGAGCTATATAATTAAAGCTAATTAAGAACCCGCTTTAAACTGAAAAGAACCAGTTGGAAGAGCGTGAGCCATATCTTTGAGGAGTGTCCTCGCTACAGGAGAGAGATGGAAAGATGTGGTGTACCTCGTCAGCTCTGAGAGGAACTAACAGATAACGACCAACGTATCGATGGTACCATTCAATTCATTAAGAACATAGGGCTAATTCAACTAATCTGAACACTAAATTATATTTTCTCACAAATTTGCGATATATTGACTTAATATATATTTACTCTATACTTTTTTTTTATTTTCTTTTTCTTCTCGATAGTAATTTATATAATTTTTTTTAATTATTATTTTTTAAAACATATTTAATTTTATAATAGTAGTTTTATGATTGAAAGATAAACCAACCAGTACAATTTGAGGGCAATGATAACCGTCAGCAGTTTTTTGCCCTAAACCCAAAACAACAACAACCAGTTGGAAGATTGTAGGTCATAATCACAATATAAATAAATAAGTATAAAAAAAATGGAGAATGTACCTGGGAACACATCAATACTCGTCCCACTCAACTAAGTGGAGCAACATTTGTACAGTAGTACAAATCATTCCTAAAATATACTCTTATGATCATGACTATAACAGCAAAATCAAGGAAATACAAAAATTTAAATAAATATTCTTCGCCCATCTCAAAACAGAAATTATAAAAAACTGAATGACATCACAGTTTCTCAAAGATTAGTTCATGCCACTTTTTTCTTGAAATTAAAAGATTTTGTCAAATATAAAGGTTAACAATATTTACTTATCATTTAATTAACAATGCTATTTCTTAAACCTCATAAGACGAATTATTTTGTGAAAATATGAAAATCTTTTAAATTTATATATTTGAAAGATACAGTAGAGAACTCGTATCAATATTTTGAGAAATTTCATATAAACTGACTTTTAACTATAAAAACAAGAGGTGATTTTAAAATTAATGCCTGATTACAATAAAAAAATAAATAATCAAGCTTTCATTATTTACAAAAGAATTGCATAACACTTTACTATAAATACTTCATAACATAACCATAATTAACCAGCCAGACCTACTACTATCTGTAAGTTTAATTGTTATAGAAAAATAACAGCACAATTTAAGATCCCAGCTAAATAGAAGATAATATGTGACATTTAAAGAAAACAAGAATTTTTAATAGGAAGAATATTATAATGACTCCATTCTACATAGCACATTATTAAGTTTTCCCAAACCTCAACTTGTTTAATAAATTAACAAATAAAACAATTCAAACTAGAACAGAAATAAAAAAAACATTGAATTCGAGTTTGCTCCGTTTCAAACTTGTATCATAGTATGTTATTCGACACAATTCAATTAGTCAGATAACACTAGTGATATTAAGCAGAAGCACACAATTACTCAAAGTAATTGAAATTTTAAAAGCCAAGGAAAAAGAACTGAAGCATAATAAACGTAACAATTTTGAGCCACAAAAAGCGATTAAGTAGCCAATTAACACCCTTAAAGTAAGTTTTTAACAAAAAAACTACAACACGATAGTGAAATGTTCACCCTAATGGATCTTTCAAAGATATGTACATAGCATTATACACACAAACATAAGCATACCAGCATAAACATCACCACCACTACTACTGGTCACAGAGACAACACTATTGAAACATGTCAAACCATTTTTTTCTAAATAACATTATACTTTATATAATATAGATAATCCTTCTAAAATTTAATTTTGCATGTTTCCACTTTATTCCATATTCAAAGTAATCTACTACCTAAAGTTTAACTCTTGACCATAATTATTTTTTTAACAGGCTACTTATATTTAAAGTAAATATATAACCTAGAGGAATTATCAAAAAAATAACCACTAAAATATATAAATGTAATGTGCTGTTCAGTTGAAGTTTCAAATTCAACATATCTCTGACAGAATAATTCACCCATTTTCACACAAAATTATGGGGAACATTACATTATTTAACTAACAAAATATTAAGTTAGTAACACATGTATAAAGTTGTAACGCTTCTTTATGTTAAGAACATAATTTACCATGACAGACAAATAACCCATTTTAAAAATTATTGCCCACCAAGTAGAAAATAAACAGCGATCAAGGTTTTTACATGATTTATCATTAACTGTCAACAAAATAGGGTAAAACCTAGGAAATCAAAGATAAAAAGTGTAAAAAAAAGTAAATTCTATTTGAAAATAAACACATCTTTCAAACTTCCAAATTGGGTATTTCCTGAATTACCTCGTGTTCATTTTTAGCATTGTAAAGGAGCGCAGAAACGCGCTTATCCACATCTGATTTGTTTCTGAACATTGTATTACTACTTTAATCTATAAAATATTAAAACTCATCACTCAACGTGTTTCGACATTCAACAAGAGTGCGAAACAATATGGCGGTAAAACGAGAGAAACAAAAACTACTTCTTAACTTTCTAAGAGGTAATATTTATATTAAATTTTGTTTGATCGTTTTTGAATAACAAGCCATGAATCAATATTTCATTGTTAGTTTATTTTTCTCTTAAATTGCTTTTAAAAACTACAAAAATTAAAAAATATTTCAGATATTAATTTGTATGTTTTATAAGTTTATATAAAAAAAAAAATATAGGTAATAAATAGTCAAGACGCAGTCATTTTTAAGGTTTTTATTAGTGCCTCCACGTTTCAACCCAAGCATGTGGACCATTATCTGGACGTATTTTGAGCACTAGAGGTGTTCAAGTACTGGCATATAGATAGGAAAATGTATCATTTACCTATCTAAGTGCCAGTACCTGGACGCCTTCATTAATCTCACTTTCTGCATACATAGTATAAAGCGGCATACACTTGTATAAAGACGGTACATTTTATTCTGATGTTGCTATCTTATATCATATATTTATTCAGTTTTTCTGCACCCGTTTAAAGTTAGAAGAAATGGTACTTTGCGGGAATCGATCTTTTGGATATCGTACTATTCGTGAAACCAGTATATTGAAATAATTTAGTAAAAACCAGTGATTTCACTGTCCAGGACAAATGTGAGAAAATCGTTTTTTGAAAATATCGTTTAACAAGCTTAATAAAAAGTAGTCAACTAGCGAATGACAAAATTGTATTTAGTTTTTGTATTATGGAAATGATGAATCCAGACATGCCTTGGCACCATCCTGGCATATTAGGAGCCACCCACAGTGCACCGTAAACTGAACCATTGGAAATTAAAACGGTTTATCACTCAATACAGTGTATTTGCTAAATTGTTCTTTGAACTTGCTTACACATCCATAATATTCTTCCAAGTAAAGAGAACACTCAGATGAGGGGAGAACATTAACTTTAACCCGTCGTAATTACGATCAGCAGTCATATGGAAAAGAGCAACACAAACAGAACAATGGAGGCAGTTAGACATTAGGCCCTTTTTAAAAATATTTTTGAAGTTCAAGAAGTGATATGCAATGCTTTATTCAGTCTAACATGGACAATTATTCTAGTCTTAGTTGGTATAAACCCGCAGGAGCTACCCAGAACTTCAGAAAATCAAGTTCTTGAATACAAAACATTGTACAAACATTCTCAAAACCACCAAACTGACACAATATCATTCACACTACACATCTTCACTCCAAAAGTCACATCTCTTAGGAACCCATCTCGAATGAGGGAGCAGCTTATGATGCTCTAAGAAAGCACCTCCTCCATCCGACTAGATAACAGAGACCTGATTACCCGCTTCGCTTAGATAATCACGAAACTTCAATAAAAACATGAAGTCGGACGTGACATGAAGCAGAAAAATTGTAGGACATTGAGGTTGGCACGGAATATCAGAATCACCTCAGATAAGAATACACTGAAACGATTTTAGTTTTAAGGATATGACATTGAAGAGTAATGGAAAATATGTTCGGAAGCATTTAAAAAAGTGGCCAAACGAACTAGAGATTGTAAGAAGAGATCCCATAGATAAACTTGGTTTGACGAAGAGAAACTTGCAACAATAAAGGATAAAGCATACTGAGACTGTGGGAACGATACACAAAGAGATTATCAGAACTAGGGTTTAATCACTCCTCGCAGAAGAGATAAAACAGAACCACCTTACCGAGACGAAGTCGCAGGTGGTCTTCAGAACCTTTAAAATAACATGACTCCAGACATCGATGGAGTACAGTTAGAAATATTGAATTACAGGAGTCAGAGCTAGAAAAAGTGTTATACGAGCTCTTTTCCTTCATTTCATATGTCAAAAATATCTTGAGTCGGAAGTGAGCTTCAAGTAACCATTTCACGTGTAAACTATAGGTGTCTGAATCTTTCCAATAGCTGTTACTTTGCCTTGGAAAGAAAAAACAAGTGCTGAGACGAATCTTCGTAGTTATAAGAGAAGAATTTATCTCATTTGTAATATTACATTTTAAGGCCCACTTTCCGGAATCGTTTCCTTGCGTTACCAGTACTATTACCTGTTTATTTCCTCTCTAGGAGGATATAAACAATAAAGATATGGTATAAGCAAATAGTGCAGAGTCACATTTGTTAAATTTGTAGTTTGTATGACAATTAACTAACAATAACACGATAGCAGTAGAAATTAAAAGTAGTATAATAGCCATCAATAAGAGGTTTTTAATGAATGAAAAATCTCATTTCAAATAGGCAGACCACAATGCCATAAAAGATAACATTGCATATTTTTTGCACTTATATTCGTTTGGGAACCAGCAATACTTCAAAATGGAATTGAAAACAACTTTATATTATATGCCAAAACGTATTCATAAAAATTTTCGATTTCTGGAGAGCAACTGGCAACCGAACCATTGAAGAAACATCGAGCAGTGTGAACACCAACATCATAATGGTTAGACAAATAGCGTTTAAAATTAGAGGAGAATATAAATGGCTAATAATGCTTTATGACTGCTATTGGGAAATCATCAATCGCTTGGGTGTTTTCGCTTGGTAATAATAGTAATGCAAGAGTCTTATCAAAGTCTTATTATTTATATTAATAATAATGTGTGAATCTTATTAGACATACTATTGATAATATTAATGTGAGTTTCTAATTAATATTTATTGTTCGTTAATTGTGTTCATTATTCAACATCAATTTGAAATAAAATGTATCATAATTTTTGTGTAGTTATAGTAAAGGCCACAAGAGTGGTTAAACTAAACTCTTTGTAGATCGTTGTTCCTTCCTATATTTAATTTTATGCTCGTTGGTTGTGACTCATCTTTTTAAAGCGGTTTGGGTTTAAATACAAGGCCAAATACTTTGACCTCTCACTGATAAGAAGCACTTTATAATAATAAATGAGATAAAACTAACCTACCCTCGCGCGGGCTCATTACCGCGTATGTGGAGCGTCCCACGGGTGGCGGATGTGGGGATGGTCGGTGGAAATTTCTTGGAAGTTCCTCCCGGCTAAGTCCGATGGACTCGCTGACCAACAATGAGAGGGGCCCTCCAGACTTGCTGGAGGGAGGGGACCTCCAGACTTGCTGGAGGTAGGGGCCCACCAGACTTGCTGGAGGGTGTGACGTAGGATTGAACGCCCTACTCACATATCTTTAGTTCACCAAACACCACAAAAAGTCATGGATCTTCCTAAGGTAAAACGCTCATTATCCGGAAGTAAACTAGTCCCCCGTTCGGGTCTCCGGGTGGGGACTGCTTTAGGGGATTCATGGCGCAAGTTGAAATATAGGGATTTAAATATTGGTACGTGGAACGTAAGGAGTTTAAACACAGCAGGGGGGCTAAAATCGGTCGCGAATGAGGTAAATGGGTACAATTTGGATGTCGTGGCTCTGCAAGAGGTTCGCTGGCCAGGGGAGGGATCGATGAGGGAAGGGAAGTACACTATTTGGTACGGAGGAAGCGGGAATCATTGTTTAGGTACCGGGTTTCTAATTAGGCGTAGATTACTATCCGCTTTGAGGGACGTACAATTCTTTAGTGATAGAATTTCGGTAGCTACATTTCAGGGACGTTGGTTTAAAATCGCATTAATAAACATACATTGTCCGACCGAAGACAGTGACGATGAAGTCAAAAGTGAATTTTACGATAAACTCGAATGGGTTTATGATAAACTACCACGAAACTACATGAAAATAATTGTAGGTGACGCGAACGCAAAGGTAGGAAGGGAAGAAGTTTATATTCCGACGATTGGTAAAGAAAGTTTGCACGAATATAGTAATGATAATGGGATCCGTCTGATAAACTTTGCCATCTCGAAAAACCTGATAATTAAAAGTACGACGTTTAAACATAAGGATATTCATAAATATACTTGGACATCACCGGATTCGCAAACACGAAATCAAATCGATCATGTCTTGATACAACACAGCTGGCAAAGTAGTATAATTAATGTACGGTCTTATCGCGGAGCAGAATGTGGGTCGGATCATGAATTAGTAATCGCGAAACTTCGACAAAAACTTAATATAAAAAAGAGAAAAGAAAACCGTTTCGATTTTGAGAATTTTAATTTGGAAAAATTAAAAAATCCATCAATTAGAAACCAATTCGAGCTAGATGTTAAGAATAGGTTTGAAGCTTTAGAGCTTCCTGACGAGGACCACGAGGATATTGACAAGTTATGGATAGAGATCAGAGATAATATTAAAGCGGTCGGTAACTCGTGTCTAGGAAAAAAGGAAAATAAGAATAACAAACCGTGGTTTGATGAAGATTGCTTAAACATGTGTGAAAAAAGAAAAGCTGCTAAATTAAAAGCTCTAAATAATCCTAGCGAATACAATCTGGAATACTTCCGAATCTCAAAGAACGAAACGACAAAATTGCTCAAAAATAAAAAAAGGGAGTATCTTAAAAATAAAATAATTGAAATAGAAACTAATAGAATCGAAAATAACGTAAGAGACATGTACAAAGGTATAAACAGATCACGTAAATATGTAGGGCCCGTAACGTCTGGAATTAGGGATGATAATAACAATATTCTGACCGATCCGGTTGACATATTGAATAAGTTTAAGGACCACTTTGACAATATTTTAAATACGGGAAATTATGATCTGTGTCCTCCTTCTGAGTACCAGAGTGCTGAACCGTTAATAGAAGGACCAACTAAAGAGGAAGTTGAAGTAGCTATCGGAAAATTAAAATCATATAAAGCAGCGGGAATCGATAATATTCCTACTGAACTAATTAAGGCATGCGGAGAAGCTGGAGTTTCTAAAATACATCGGTTGGTTAAAAAGATCTGGGTGAACGAGAAATTACCTGAAGAATGGAAAGAATCTATTCTTATTCCGATTCACAAAAAGGGTCCGAGGACGGATTGTAATAACTATCGAGGAATTTCACTCCTTCCGGTATGTTATAAAATATTCACTTTAATCTTAACCAGTCGAATCACGGAATACGCCGAGGAAATTATCGGAGACTACCAATGCGGATTTAGACGGAATCGTTCGACTATTGATCAAATATTTTCTTTACGGCAAATATTAGAGAAAAAATTGGAGTATAACGGTATTGTTCACCAGCTGTATATAGATTTTAAAAAGGCTTACGATTCTATTGACCGCCAGAAATTGTATAATATTCTAATCGAGCAGGGGATTCCAAAAAAACTAGTAAATCTAGTCAGGATGTGCTTGACGAAGACACTCAATAAAGTTAGAATCGGTAATAATTTGTCCGAAAAATTTGAGGTTCGTTCGGGCTTAAAACAGGGGGATTCTCTTTCGCCTGTCCTGTTCAATTTGGCATTAGAACATGCCATTAGGGAGGTAATGCGAACCGAGAAAGGGTTGGATCTGGGCGGGACAACATCCGTGCTGGGCTATGCTGATGATCTGGTACTGTTAAGCGAAGACGTTGAAACTATAAAACTGAATACGACAACGTTAATGAAAGCCGGGAAAGAACTAGGACTCGAAATAAACGTGGATAAAACAAAATATATGGTTAGCTGCAAAAATGGCGATACTACGGGTGATATCGATATAGATGGTAATATGTTTGAACAGGTAGATAAATTTAGGTATCTAGGTTCTACGATAACTAGAAAAAACGAAATTGAAGAAGAGATTAAGGTTAGACTGAAGGCGGGGAACGCTTGTTATTTTTCTGTGACAAAACTACTTAGTTCGCGCCTCTTGTCCCGAAACTTAAAAATTAGAATCTATAAAACAATTATCTTACCTACAGTTCTTTATGGATGCGAAACTTGGCCGCTTACATTAAGGGATGAGCAGCGTCTTAAGGTTTTTGAAAATAAAGTATTGCGTAGAATATTCGGACCGAAAAAGGATGAGTTAACCGGAGAGTTCAGACGGTTACACAACGCCGAATTGCGTGAGATGTATCCGGGTAATATAATTGAGGTAATTTCATCGCGGCGAATCAAATGGGCTTGTAAAGTTGTTGGGCTTAGTAACGAGAGAATTCCTAAAAGGTTAATATTTGCTGTGCCGAATGGTAAGCGTCCGAGGGGTAGACCGAAGCGAAGATGGGAGGATTGCATTAAAGCCGATCTGAAGGGACTGGGTTTGGACGGCGAACGGTGGAGGGAGGTGTGTAACAAGTCCAAGCAGTCTGCTTCGGCACGTGGGTTGGTCATGTGACTCACTGAAGCCTTGCTAAAATTGTTCCGTTTTACATTCAAGGTTTAACTATGACCTCCTCTGTCAGAAATCAGTGTAAATTTAGAGTAGAGCCACCATAGACGCGCAAAACATATTTGAATATCGTATTCATAGAATTCAACAAATATGTCATTTCAAACAGGTAAAGTAGTAGTTCGGAAAATAGTTGATTTCAGTAATAGACATCCTGTAACAAGAGGAATGGCAACTTATGCTGTCTCTTGGCCTGTTGCAAGTCTTATGCAGCAACATCTAGAAGGGCGGGAGAAATATGATTACTGGAGAACAACAAGATTTTTATTGTATGGTTCATTATATGTTGCACCTACCCTGAATTTATGGATGACTATAGCCAGATATCTTTGGCCACAAACCACATTGGCAGCTGCTGTAACTAAGGTAATCAGTCTGTTATTGCAAACATTGATATAGCTTTTTTCAGTGAAAGTAAATTTATTCAACCAATTTCATAATTTTCTCAACTAATTTTCATATTTTTTTTAATCAATCACCAATTTTTTCAATTAATTTCATAGTTCTTTTAATCAATGTCATACTCTTAATTTAATGAGGTATTTTTATCAAGAACTCATGTGGAATTCAAAGGGGGTTAGATTTAGGGAATCAGAGAATTCCCTCTGTTTATTCATTTTTCTTTACAGAACATCACAGTCTCGGTTATTTGCCAGTTTTGTTACTACATTCCTTAGTTTTCAAACATGAGTAGTGATAGGTTATCTTCGTAAGAACCTATGAACAGAGGAAGATGTAGAGTCTGGAATTGAATTGTGAGTCATTATCCTCACAAGGTTCAATGGCCAGACCAGTACGAAACAAGTGGCAAAGAAGAAGTAATTATTCTGTTAGTTCACTTCCACTAAAACAATTATTTATCAGATTGGTTGAACTAGAAGGTCTCACAATCACGGATGCTCCAATACAATCTGGTTTTATGTCCGAACAGCATATTCTGTTTATAAAAATTAAAAATCATATGACTATAAAGTTGTTGATAAAAAAAAAATGTGGTACCAAGCTTGCATAAGCTTGACAGCCGAAACTCTTGCTGTAATTGAGACGGTAATTGAAGAAAACACAGCTTACACCTTATTATTAATAACTGAGGCTGATGTTCTTTATAGAAAAATAAATAAACAGAGGGAATTCTAATTGCCTCAATCTTATTATCACCGAATATACATGAGTTCTTGATCAAGATATCTCAATCATTTAAGTGTCTGAAATTATTTGAAAAAAATATGAAATCTGTTGAAAAAAATAACGAATTTCACTGAAAAAAACAAAATGAACTAAGTAGGAGCCAATTCATCGAAAGCGCACACCCACATAGAATCTAATGAAGATTTATACATTTTTTGATACTAGAGGTTTTATCCATAGACATATTTTTTTATATATGCACCACAATTGTGAAAGAAAATTTATTTTTATATTTTGAATTCATTTTTATCATAATCAAAAATTATAATGACAATGGTTATATCATTTCATTCAGCATTAAGTTTAGGATATATGAAAACATTTTGAAGCCTCAGGCTAATTATATATTGAGAAGTCTAAATAATTCAAGCAGATTTTCAACTCTACCTAATTGTTTTCTAAAGTTCGTTTCTTTAAACTTAAGATGAACATAATTTTGAAACTGCTTGTTAAAATGGAACAAAATTTTGGATTTGCTTTTTTTTTTTTATAGTGTGAAGAAATTGTCATTAAAATCTGTAAACCTTGGGTGGTAAGTTGAACTGAGGCTGGATAATTTTCCATGGAATGGCTCTTAGTTCAATTTTCTCTTTTTAATTTACTTTATGGCATATTAAATTTCATTATATTACTGATGAGCTACCAACATGCCTCATTTTTTATGCTTAACTGATCTTTTTTTATTTTTAATTCATTTAATAATCATTATTAATGTATATCTCGTTGAGGTAGAATGGAGTAGTGGGGACGCCCTTTAAATTTGTGTTCAAAGTATAATTGATTATTAATCTCTCATTCTTATTTTTTTATCTCTCAAAGTTTAATTTTATGTTTCTTATCTTTAATACTGTAGGAGTTTATGAAATCGTTTGCATTTAGGCTATTATTTTATTTCTGCTGTTTTTACAAGAAACCATTAAAGACAATGATAGTACAACAATCTGAGTTTGCATTTATTTAAAAAAAAAAATTTTTTTTTTGTTCTATAGGCCAAATCATTAAAGATTAAGAGTGTTAAAATTTTCTGTTTCATTTGAAAATTACTTTTTCATCTTTGGTATCACATAAGAATTTTAAGATGAAATATTCACCAGTTTAATGGCTCAAGAAGTAAGGCCAGTAGGTTATGTGTCATCTGTTTTACATTCACATGTTACTGTGATAGGGAAAAGTCGGTTAAGGTACAGTGGCTAGATACCACTCTCTTGGATTCCAACTTCTTTGTTGATCTTATACACTGCGGAAGGGTTCAAGATGTGTAGTTGTTGATATGGCAGACGTGTTACAGTTATTGTAGCTCTTGTTATCATTTAATTCTGAATACATTGAGATAATCTTGCTCTATAACTACCTGCTAATTTTGTATGGATAGTATTATCTACTTTACCCAATATTGAAAGCAATTTAATTTCTCATACTTTTAATTAAGTTGTTTATTCCCTGTCATTTTTACATTATTTTTCTTCTTCATTTTAATCTTCATACTTAGAACAAATTTCATTATTTTTGATATGTTGATTTCTATTCCTGCGGTTTTGTGATTAGGTTTTTCACAAGTGTTTTCTAGCCTTTTGTTTTGTTTTTTCAAAAAATAATTTTTGAAATCTTGAATTTTTCCAAGATACTGAATATTTGAGAGTAATTTTAGGAATTACTTCAATGCCTTTCATCCTCATATTGATGAAATGCTGCTGTAACTGTTAAACTTCAAGTCAATATATTGGGTTGGAAAATAAGTCCTTTCGATTTTTCTGAGTGAAATAAAACTCAATGTATTATGGGCATAAAATTTATTTTAATCTACAATATATTGATCATTATTTAATATGACTTTTTCCCATCTTTCTACTAACAGCTTAATACCATGTTCATAGAATGTCTGGAATTTATTGTTAAAAAACTGATCCAAGTGGTTAATGATGTCCTCTTCCTTTTGGAATTTCTTCATTCATGGAGTTCTGCAGAAACTGGAATAAGTTGTAGTCACTTGGAGCTAGGTGCTGTGAATATGGAGGGTGCGGCCTAGCGTTTTCTTGGAAGAATACAACATCCCTGCCATTTGCCAGTTCTAGGCATTTCTTTTTTATTGATTGATCCAATTTTGTTAATCAGAGCAGAATATAGTTGAATCAATTGTTTGTCCTGATGGCAATAGCTCATAGAAAATAATACTTTTAAAATCCCATCAGATGGACAGCATTATCATTTTTGGATGCAATCCAGGTTTTGACATTTTTCTAGGAGCCTTACTACTAGGTTCTCAAGATTTTCTTGATTTGTTGCCGTTTCCATAGTGAATCTCAAACAGAAATGCTTGTTGCCAAGTTGACTTCGGTTAGGGAGTGAGGGACCCAAACGTTAAGTCTGGAAATGCTTGTGTGCGACACATCTAGGGCCATAGCAATATCTTGCTATTGGGTGTGTTTTTTTATCAACAATGGCCTTAACATTGCTCATTTCAATTTCGTGTGGGCCACCAGACTGTTGAGTATCATTGATGTCAAAATTTCCTGAATGAACACTACAAATTTTTCTACGAGCTTCTGCAGCACGCTTACTATTTTCAAAATAATACATCAAAATATGCCAATAATGAGCGATATTTTCTTCCATTTTCACAATGCAATAGCAAACACAATACTAAGATAGTTTCAACAAGAGTTAACAGATATAGTTGTTGACATATTACAAACAGGATAAATAATCCACCTTAGGGATAATTTCATCAGATATGAAGTGTATCTTAGTGAAAATAAATAGAAAAACCGAAAAGAATTATTGGCCAATCCAATAGTAACAAAAACTACTGGTGATCAGAACACGTTCGATCATGAAAGGTAGCTACTGCTGTAACTGAAGTTGTATCTACCTTTTGTGTTTCTTTAGTTTTTGGATCAATAATCCATAAAAGTTAGTTATAAAAATGGATTGTTAGTTTTTGTTTTATCACACTGCTTTGAGTTAATGACACTAGACCTTAGTGTATGGTGGCCAGACAGGACTATTCTTTATAATTGTGGTAGGATAATTCTACTAGTTGTAAGAACAGTCTTACATCCCACACTGGTTACCAGGAGTCCTACCTTCCAAATTACTATACATTTTATATTTAAATCATTTTAATCGAAATTATATTTCATTTTATGGGTTCCCAACAATTCTTCACAGACTAATCGCCATATTTATCAGGCCTTGTTATTACTTACAGAAAAAAAAACATAAAACATGCCCTTATACAGACTCTTTTAGCTTATTAATGACCAAAGGCAGCTCCGACAATGCAATTTCCAGAAAAATCAAAAACTGCCTCAGGGAAATGAAAGAGTCATGGTCTTCACATGCGTACCTTCACATTGTGGCATATCTGGAAACGAAGCTGCAGACAGGGTTGCGAACCTCGCAAGAAGAAACACAAATGGAACCACAACAATCAATTTACGGCCACTGCTGACTGGAGATTAAACTGAAAAAAAAAATGCTAAATGAAATATGGCAATTTAAGTGGAACCAATCTACAAACAAATTGCAAGAGTTTAAAAAAGATATCCAATAACCTCTTTCAGAAAGAACAGATCAGAAATAATTTTAACTTGACTTCAAACTGGACATGCAGCCTTTACCCATGGATACCTAATGAGAGGCCTGGAATCATCATTTTGTAAAATATGCAACACATCACTTGCACTGAAACACATTGTAACAACTTGCAGACTATACTCTGACACCAGAACAAAACATAAAATACCTTCCAACATATCTGATGCGCTTTCAGATGACGAAAAGATGATACAAAAAGTATTTGAATTCATAAAAGACATTAAATTTGTCCACCTAATTTAATTCCATCTAAAGCCGCTAATGACCCGCTCGGGTAGATGCGCAATGTAACAATAAATAAATAAAACTAATTTTTATAAAATATCACTTTTATATATTTGATTTTGATGAATATTCATTAATATCAAAATTGATAAAAGAGAAATATTCAGTGGATCTAATTAAAGCAGATTTATTAATGACTGCTTATTCTTTAAAAAATATTTTATAAAATGTTTTTAAAATATAAAAAGTAAAAAAAAAAAAAACTGCACAGATTAATCTATTAACAATACATGAATTATCAATTTAAAATTTATATTTTATGTTAGTTACATAATTGTATACAATTTATAAGTAATATTTATGGCTGTTATCAGAATAAAAATCCAGTACATTAATTTTTATTAATAAAAATTATACAATTTTACATTAAACATTTATTATCAGGTATTAATTTTTTATGTGAAAAAAATCCTTTGTCACACTCTGCTGATTTAATACTATCCTAAAAAATCTGGCAATCTTACCTTAGTGTCTACTATGTAGTGACTTAGTTTTAATCACTTCACCCAATGATTTTGTGATCTAAGTATATTACTAATTTGTGTAATAAATTTATATTGATTATTTGTTTTTAGGCAGTCGTAGAGCAAGTTTTGTACACACCATTTGCTAGTATTAGTTTTTTTTTCTGGATGTCTGTTCTTGAAGGAAAAACTGTTGAACAAGCAAAAAAAGAAGTATCTGAAAAGTTTTTCCCCACATATAAGGTAAAATTTCATTTATTATCATTCATTTATTAAATTAATTAATCAACATGTGAAATAAATTCAATGTATTCTTTAAGAAGCTCTTAATCTGTTTTGTTTTTCATGAAAAAATTATAATGTGTTAAATCAAATATTGTACTAATCTATCCCCACATATATTATTACAGTAAGGCTCAAAATCGGTTTTGTACCAAATATAAGCTCCTGTCATGCTCAAATAACATGAATGGGGTACTGTTAGATTCAGAATTTCGCAGAGATTGAGCAAATTGTACTCTCCGCTTTTGTTTTTCTTTCTAAAATAAATAAAGTCGATACAAACATTTTGCTAGGCTTCAATACTGGAATGGTGGTAAGTCTGTAGATCGATACAGGACAAATCGAGCTTTGAACATTTTGATGCGTACAGCAAGACCCAGACCCTGCGTTCTTAAGTCCAAAAACATACTATGTTCGAGTTAATGCAAGGCAAAGGGTTCGCATCCACTCAACCTTACTAATTGTAGTACTGTCATGGAATACATGACTCATTTTGTCAACTTGAGACCCCTATGACCGTGAGAGGAGGAGTTTATATTATTTATCAAAGGTGTTTTTTGTCGGTAAGCCTCATCATCGTTAATTCTTCGCCAAATCTCAAGATTGAGCCATCAATTTTGAACGTTTCGTTCTCCTTCAGACGGGCAAAATAGTTCAATCACTCTGAAAATTCAGGGAAAATTTTTTGAAAGAAAAGGAACTTTATTTGCGAATAACTTAAAAATTACACACTTTTCCCATATGTCCATGTTTATATATAAGATTACTAAATTCTTTACAAAAGGAAAACAAAATCATCGAAATTGGACTATTTTTAGCAGAGATACAGCTTATTGAAATTTGTAAACATGTTGGTTCCATACATAAATGAAGTTTTAAATTAATTTATTTTTTCTTTGTCGATTATATTTAGTGAGAAAGTAATAATTGATTTCTTTTATGATATGTTGCATTGTTTTATTTTATATACTGAACAATAAACTGGATAAATTTTCGCACGGACCTACCAGTTGAAATAAAAAAGTTTGAAAGAAATAATTTTAATATATTGAAATTTTCGATCAATTCATCACTCTATTCTTATTTTTGATGATATAGTTATTTCAATTCTGTAATTATATTCTATATTTTTTTTATTGAACCATTTTAAATTAATTAGCCAGGAATTTTTGTTCTATTACTCATTATTGGTGTTTTCTAAAATCAAATAAAATGGATACAACACATCATTTTGATTTCACTTCAGTAACTTTAAGATGTTTCCAACTGATGTTATTAATTCCAGAATGCTAACTAACATTCAGAGAAAAGGTTTTATTTATTTTTTTAATCAAAAAATGAACTTTATTTTTAGCAGGACATTTAATGTGGTAAGCTGTAATCATCTTTCGATCCTCTCCTAGTATATTTCTATTATTACTTACTCTAACAATATTAATTAAGGCCTTAATTGATATTTAATATTATATGCCTTAAAATGTATTATAATGTGTAACCAAGTAGTGAAAGAAGGTAATAAAGATAAGATATTGAGCATATAAAACATTTTAAAAATTCACTGTAAATAAACAATTTCACTATTAGTATTATATTATTTTAAAAGTTATTTTAATTTCTAATATTATTAACGGGAATCCCCAAAAGGGGTTTAGTTTTATTTGTTTAAAATTTAACGATAATATAGTGCAACAACATTACATACATTTTCTTCAAAAAAGAATGTAATTGTTGGAATTTAAAATTTAACGATAATTTAGTGAAACAACATTACATACATTTTCTTCAAACAAGAATGTAATTGTTGGAATTTAAAATTTAACGATAATTTAGTGCTACAACATTACATACATTTTCTTCAAACAAGAATGTAATTGTTGGAATTTAAAATTTAACGATAATTTAGTGCTACAACATTACATAAATTTTCTTCAAACAAGAATGTAATTGTTGGAATTAAAAAAAAAAAAAAAAAAAAAATTATGGGGCCTTAATCATTACTCCACCCTGGGCCCAAGATGGTTTATATACCCTACTGATGGAACCAAATAATTTGGATTAAAGAAAAAGAAATAAAGTCTTAAAATGTTGGCGTAATTTAAATTGTATTTGTTGATGAGTCAATAGAAAATGCTGTGTAATGTTTTCATTCAAAATAAAATGGTTCTATGTATTTCAAAGCCTACATTCATTATTGGGGAATTAAAAACTAACTACTCTTATATTATTTAGAATGAAACATGATTTTTCATTTGACATTGGTAAACATTTGCCTTTTTTTTCGACTTTGTACTCAAGTTATCTTACGATTAAAGTGAAAAGTAAATGGGTATTTACGAATTTATACTAACTAATTAAATAGACGAAGTTTGCCAACCTCCAGATTGAAATGCCCCTATTTTGAGAATTTTTGTAAGTAAAATATTTGTAGGTTCCAATGAGATGAAGCTATTTACAAGTTTCAGCTGGATGTTAATAATTTGAAAAAAAGAAGTACTACGGACTAGTAATTTTATTGATCTAACAATTTTCTACTCCTAAAATAAATAAAGTTAATTGAAATATGCATAATTTATACCTTTGGAGCCTAATTATGCACAAAAATCAAATCTTGGCCAAATATGCAAAATAAAAATTTGCCCGAAGATTTAGAATAGCTTGCTTCATCAAAATGTCGATTGATACTTCATAACTATTCATTAGCGTATTAACCCAGGCCTTATTTTTAATGACAGTAAACTGGTCTCACATACAACCTACGTATGCGAAGGGGTTGTTAGGCAGCAAATATTATCTCATCTATTGTGTATATCCATTTTTAAACGCTGAGGTCAAGTCTAAATAAAATTTGAATGTCCTTATTATTTAATTTTTTTTTTTTTTTGTTTGTCCAAAAATAGATTAATGTTTTTAAATTGTGACTTCTATAACCAGCATGTATGTTACTTTTATCATGTTTACATTATGCCTGAAAACTTATATTTGTTACAGGTTGCCATTTGTATTTGGCCTATTGTACAAACAGTGAACTATACACTTATTCCAGAAAAGAATAGAGTTCCTTTTGTTAGCCTTTGCAGCCTTGCTTGGACTACATTCCTTGCTTATATGAAACATCTTGAAGGAAGTCATTTTAAACAGCATCTACCAATGCCTATGCATCACGAAAAGAAGAAAATCGAAAGTGCATCTTGATATATTAATTATTTAACAGAAATTTTCTAGTCAATTTTTACATTCACTAGGGTTTTATGTTTGTATGTATGTTAAAATTAATATATTAAATGCATGAGATAGTTTGGTGGATGTCAATCAAGTAAATGATAGATAAAAGGAGATGATAGTTATTTCATAATTTTTTTTTTTTTTTAATAGTTCGACTTTCCCTGACCATCATCATTAAAATTGTTACTGTATTGTTTTTTTATTTATTATTGTTAAAATTTGTATAGAGGTTATGAAACACTGATGATTGTTCTATTATTTAAAAGAATTGTGTCTTTTTAGAAATTTAAAAATATTTTTATGCACTAAAATTACTTGTTTTTATTTTATACTATGATAACATTATAGTAGCTGTGCAATTGTTTTAATTTATGTTAATTTTATTTTTTGTTATGAGACCATTAATGGTTATTTTGGAATTGTTATAATTGATGTTAATTAAGAGCGTTTGTGATATGTAGCTATTATTGATTGGTTATTTGTTAATATATTCCATGTCTGGAATAGCAAATAAAAATATTAACTTTAAATTGGGATATTGTTAATATGGCCACATGGGTGTCTCTCCCCCTCTTTCCTCCCAAGCTCAATAGCACATGTACCCCTCCTCCTCAAGAAATGTTATTGCTTTCCTCTTCTGGATAGCTTCAGCCGCAATGCCCTCCCAGGGCTACACTATGAACATAAGCAAATCGTCCTCAGACCATGTCCCATTTATCCTTTTTTTACCTTCTCTGTAGTTAGGGATTATGTGGTCCCTATGTATAGCATAATACTCTTGGTTCATGATATATATATATATATATATATATATATATATATATATATATATATGTGTGTGTATTTCCATTTTTATTTAGTACTAAATTATCTGTTTAATTTACTTCTATTTTGGCTTTTATTTATTTTTTTTTATTTTAAGAGGTTTCCAGTATAACGTTAAATTATATATATATATACAAAATTTCGCAAAGAATCTATTCTTATTCCGATTCACAAAAAAGGCCCAAAGACGGATTGTAATAACTATTGAGGAATTTCACTCCTTCCGGTATGTTAGAAAATATTCACTTTAATCTCAACTAGTCGAATCACAGAATACGCCGAGGAAATTATTGGAGACTACCAATGCGGGTTTAGACAGAACCGTTAATTATTGATCAAATATTTTCTTTACGGTAAATATTGGAGAAAAAGTTTGAGTACAGCGGTGTTGTTCATCAAATGTGTATCAATTTAAAAAAGGCTTATGATTCTAATTAATGCCAAAAACTGAATAATATTCTAATTGAGCAGGGAATTCCAAAAAAAAATAATAAATTTAGTCAGGAAATATTTGACGGAAACTCTCAATAAAGCTAGAATCAGTAGTAATTTATCCAAAAAGTTTGAGATTCATTCGGGTTTTAAAGGGGGTGATTCCCTTTTGCCATTATCCGTGATCATTTAATGTACTTGAAAACATGTTATTTCCCTTAAGTAATATTAGTTTTCAGAAATTATTTTTTATAATTTTGTTAATCCCCTCCATTACGTTCCATGATTTTGTATGATAGATATCATTTTTCTAAAATTCTCAGCTTTCCAACTATATATTATACATATATTGGAGGAAGTTAGTGGACTGTTTTGCTTATCATGGGTGATATACATATACCTTGTGACTATTATTTCCAAAAATTCATTTTCGACCTAAATAAACATTTTTTTCTTATTTCTCCTTTAGTCAATTATCAAATTTTTCCAAAGATTATATTTAGCCTTTTTTTATTACTGCTAGTAATGAGATATGGTTAATTATTTAAAATAAACCAAATTAAAGGTACTTTAGGGGAAGAAATGTTGAACATTAGGCACTTACACTTAAGCCCTGTTAGATGACATCAATAAGGATAAGACCTAGCTAATATTGGAGAATATTTTATTGTATCTTGATATACTGAGTTCAATCAACATTTTTAAAGCCATTTTTGAGAAAATTGTAGAAATGTGTAAAATCGTTGGTATAAACTGGTACTTCCACTTAGCTGATTTTAACGAAAAACGTGCTCCAACCGCCATATACCAACCTTAAATATGTAATTTCAGTTTCATGCCAGTTTTTGTTTTTAAGCTTGACTGTTCACATACACTCAGACCATTTTTTGGTCCACTTTGTGAAATCAGGATACCTCAAAACGTGTATTTCTGTTGAAAATTCAGATTCAAAAATGTTCACGATCGCATTGCTTTCCCTTCCTATATGTTATATAGGTGTGTTTGTGTATGTGTGTGTGCATGTGCTTTAACAGTCTACCTCAAAACCAAAAGTCGTACGAAAGTGAAATTGCATATTTAAGGTTTTTATATACCTGAGATGTCACAGCAACATTTTCGTCAAAATCGGCTTACCAGAACTGACACTTTATATGATTGATTTAATACATTTTTACAATTTTCTTGAAAACAGCTCTAATGGCTTTGAATAAATTCATTGTATTAGTGTAAAATTAAGCAGTTTTTAATATAATGTAGGTTTTATTCTCATTGACGTTCTCTAACAGGGCTTAAATGGATATTTTTCCAAATTTCCTTCCTCTAAAGTACCTTTATTTTTTCTATTTAAAAAAAATTAACCATTTCTCATTGATCTCTAATATAAAAAATAGTTAAATATAAAATATGAAAGAATTTTATATTATACTATAATATATATAATATTATATTATACTATATTTTATATATATAATAATAGTTATATTATACTATAATATATATAATATTATAGTATAATATATAATATAATATTTATAAGAATATTATATTATATATTATACTAAATAAGAGATCGTAACGGAGAAAACTTGTAATGGAGGAAATAAAGGAATACGAGCTCTCCCGAAAGATTAGAACAGTCTTCCATACGTAACATGAGCTTAATATAATACAGACTCCAGCAATGTTATGTACATACATATGCATATTTCTTAAAATCCATAGTTCGTATTATTTAATATTTAATTATATAGATTACAGCGATATAAAAATCAAAATTTGTATATATAGGGACATGAAATATAAATAAATGTAGCGTTCATAATTTTAACTTTTACTTCCCCTTTGTCTAAAAATAATTATTTCTACTAAGAAAAGGGTGGTAAGTGAAAGTTGTGTGAAGTGCTCACCACACCAGATTTTTTATTATTGTTATAAAAGTAGAAATTTAAAAGATAAACAAATGTTTGAATTATATTTAATATATTAAATGTTATAATTTTTAGATTTCTCATCTATCATAGATGTTCTGTTCAAATGTCACAATATTTTATTATTTATTTCACTTGATTGGTTGTTATTTTCTCTTTTTTCTTTGTTTCATTGAATCCTACGCATTCATTTCTATTTTTGTGTCTGCTAACTTCCTTTTTTTATTTTAAACAGTGTATGATGTTTCCAGAGAGAGGGGGGAGGGTTCTACAAGAATTTCTATTTCTATTTTTGAAGTTAAAATGTGTAAAACACTTAGTTATACTGTCAAAGCAATAAATATGTTTTTTCTCATTAGTTTGACTTTTGTTTTTACAAATTTATAGAAAAAGTTTTTCAGTAGACCAACAAGGGCCCAGCAACAATAAAAAAGAGTTAAAATTTATTTGTAAGGTATCTGAAATTGTAAAAAAATATATATAAAAAAAATTTGACTTATCAACCAAAAATCTCATGGGACTGAATGTGCAAACAAAATTAGAATTATTAAGATTTTAGATTATATTCATTACACCTGCTGTGATCTGTTCCATTTTTTCCACATGTTTCCTAGTTAGAAAGTTCTAGCAAATTAAAATCCCACCAAATTATAGTTATCTCTCAAAATGGGCACTCCTGAATCAGGAGTCTTGATATGACATAAATGTGGCAGAACCACAATTATATTACTTTTCAATGATATGTTTATTTTTGGTGTAGACCTATTTTTCAATTTGAATAAACTATTTTTAAAAACATTGTTTTGTCATTTATACCTACTTTGCCTTTCACATTTATTTTGGAAAATATTTAATTTTTAAGACCCTTTATGAAGAAAAAAAAAGATAGTTCACCATTTCATGTGAACTGTCATATTATTGTTTGTGAAAGAGAAAAAGATATTATGACACAATTCAGATTATAAAAAAGTTCATATATACCAGGGGTTGAAACTTTTTATTAAGTTCCATTTTAATAGTTTTTATGACACTTTTTTATAATAAAGTTTCAGGTTTATGGTATAAGTTTAACTTTATTCAAACACCTGTATCTATCCTAGATTCTAATCACACAATCCCAGATCACCAATTTGGGTTCAGCACATCTCATTCCACTATCCACCAATCTCATCGTTTGGTGAACGTAGTATCCTCTGCATTGGAGTGCGTTGTGTAGGTGTTTGATAGAGTCTGCCACTCAGAACTGATGTGCAAAATCCTGAAATTCCTATCACTTACATACTTTCTTATTATCTGTTCCGACCTCACTGACAGATACTTCAAAGTAAATTACAATGCTTATTCATCACTTTTCTCAGTTTGTTGGTGGTCTTCAAGGTAGTATCATAGGTCCTTTACACAGTTTATAGAATAGAATAGAAGAAGAATCAACTTTATTCTAGGACAAAGTCCCTTAAGAATAACAATTTTGTACATAAAAATTAACTTTATACAGCTGACATCCCAACCCATCCCTACACTGTCATCACCACCTGTGCTGATGACACATGTATCCTATCAGTTAATAACGACCCATCAATTGCATCCCAAACTCTTCAATCACACATCACAAGTCTTGAAGAATGGTGTCAAAACTGGATGATTAAAATAAATCCCATCAAATTACCTTCACCCTTCGTTCGTCATAAACCTACGACTTCCTGTCCTACAGTATCTTTTAGCAATACCCCACTTATCCCTGTTCAACAAATTTGATACCTAGGATTCCACCTAGACAGACGACTTGCTTGGAATCCTCATACCAGGCTGAAACGACTAGAAACTGCTCTACATTTTCAACTATTGCAGCACTTACAAGACAAACACTCTTAATTCCAATTATTTACAAAAGACTCTTATATATATATATATATATATATATATATATATATATATATATACAAAAGACTATGTAATATATATATTACTATAATAAGGCCTATCCAGACTTACGGTACCGAGCTTTGGGGCACCACTAAACCATTAAATTCCCCTCAAATCCAATCCTTAACATCCAAAATCCTCAATACACCTTACTTTTTCACAAATAAAATCATCCTTAACGACCTTAATGTACCATATCCTTAATGCTTCCTACTTTGTCACAAATAAAATCATCCATAATGACCTTAATGTACCATATGTTTCCGATTTAGCTCAATCCAGATACTTATCCTTCCATAATAAACTTCTGAACTATCCGAACCCTCTTGTTTCTAATCTTGCTTCCTCTTTAATTCTTAATAACCCTCCGAGGCATCTGAAAAGAAGATGGCCTTCTAATATAGAACTATAATTGGAGTACTACCACTGGGTAGTTTCTCTTCATGTTGTACATGTCATATCACTGTTTTCAGATTTACTTGTATTGGTCATGTAATACATTTGTAAATTTCAATAATACTTTTTTAAAAAAGTATTTATTGAAGTTCTTAAAAAAAGTTCTTTTAAATAAAAAATAAACAGTAATTGGGCTTAGATTAGTGTTATAATTTGTCTTACATTAATTACACATGATTCTAATGTATTGTTTGAGTAGCTATGAATAAAAGTCTTTGTTTAGATCTACTTTTTAGCAAAATTGACTGAACTTTTAAATAAAAGTTGTTTAAATATAGAAGTTCTGTAAAACCTTTACTTGGAAAGTTAAAAGAGAAAAAGTTCTAGTTCCAAAAGAACTGAAAAACTATCAACAGTAAAAATTCTGGTGATAGAGAAACATTTTAAAAATAAAAGTTCTTTTTTACGATTTATGTTCTGATATGTACATAGTAATGTTATTTTATTATTTTAATGTATACTAATATAAACATTTTGTGTGTTATTCGGTTAATTAGATGCACTTGGTCATGTAATCATGTGTATATAACAGGCATGTACAATGTACAATTCAAATTCAACTCATTAATTTTAAGTTCATTATTTTAAAACATTTTTTTTTTTTTATAAATGCATTTCTTTATTGAGCCATATTACATTCTGACACATTCAAGAACACCAGTAATAGTGGTAGAGTACTTCATTCACACTCTATGTACAATAAATAAAAATAAATTAAACAGCAAAATAATAATACTAAAAGTAAATGTATACAAACAAAAAGAAAATAAACTAATAAAAATAACTTAAATACAAACACGCTTTTTTTAAAATTACAAAAATGAATTTCTGAAAAAATATTTATAATTATATATTAATTGATGATCATACCCAAGCAAAACATTGACTAAAATTACAGACTAAATCTACTTCTCATTTTTTATTTGTTTAGAAGCCATTTTCAAATGTTCACACTTATATTTTATATTTTATTTTAAATAAAAATTATTTTCATTTTGTATTCTTATGCAGCGCTCCTGCCTAATTTATATGGTTAAAAAATTTCATCATGGTAGTATTGTGATGACAGTGGTTTTAAGGCCAACATTTATTTTTAAAAATGAATTGAGAAACTTATTTAAATTTATGTAAACTAAATTTATAAATAAAAATACATTTGAAATAAATGAGAGAAAAAACTCAAACAAATAAATTACATAGTTTTTAATCTTCTTCCCAGTAATGAATAACTTAAAAACACATACAAACAGTTTCATTTAATGATTTTTTTTTACTAAGTATTTCTTTACATATTTCCTTCATCCAAGTTCTTCCTTAAACCTCTGTCTCCATATCCTGTCGATCACCTGTTCAATCTGTGTCTGGCTATGATGTTTAACCATGGTGAATGTGTAATTTTAAATTTGTAGGTCTACTGATGAAATATAGCGATAATATCACTTTCATAAAAGTCTTGTCGAATAAACTCTGGAAAACATATTCTTTTTTTTGAAAATTTTGTTTTTTAGGTTTTTATACACTTTTTTTTATATGTTTTACAAATTTTATTTTAAAATGACTTATTTTTACAACTAAACCGGTTCTTTATTTACGGAATATTAACAAAAAAATTACCCATGATGTTTTTGTTTAACATAATAATCCCAAGGAATCATTTGAAATATATAGTATATCCATATTATAAAATCTACAGAGCTACTAATATTTTTGAAGTTATCATTTCCAAAATGACATGGGATTTTATATTCTGAGAGCCTTTATTTCCACAAAGAACTTGTCCAAAATATATGAACTTTCATGCTTTATTTTAATGCCAGCAATTCTTTTACTGTAAAAAAAATCATCCCATTGGTATAAATATAGAATCTTTGATTTACTTCATAAAATGTATCATGCAGATTTGAATGAATTCAGTTACCTCCCACAAATCTGAAGTCCCTAGCATCTGAATCTGAATTCATGCCCAGTTTCAAAATATTTGTATAGAAAGTGATCATGTATACTGTCACTAAAAATTTGAGACCACCATGTCTGACATTGATAGAAATGCTTGTCTAAATTCTATTATCTAATATAATTCAAAGTTATGCATGAAACTTGGTTAATAATTCAATTTTGTATTGAATCTTTAATCATATGATGAGCAATTAAAAAGTTAACTCATAATGTTTATAGAGATTGTTTTTCTTTTCTACCGCTTGATAACACTTAGGACAATGTTAAAATAATTAGGTCAGTGGATTTAATCAATTATTTTTATAACAAAGAAAAACTCAGACTTGCTCGACATTTCTCATTTTTCAAGTAAGCTTCCCTTAAAACATTTGTCTAGATAGCGGATTTTAGTTTATACTATACCTCAATAGATAGCGTTACTGTACTGATTGGATCTTTCTCGAGAGAGGGGGTAATAAACAGGCAGAGAGAAAATGTCGGAAGAGACCGCAGTACGTACTGTTAGCTGTTGGTGTGTTGTTCTCGGGTCCTGTTTGTTTTGTTTTCATATCGTGTTTAAATCATGTAGCTACAAATGACTTTTCAACTCTAAGTTTCAAAATGGTCCGTTTGAAAAGATTTCTTCATGCGTTAATAGCAATTACAGTTATAGCTACTATTTATATTCTTACACAGGAAAAACGATCAGTTGAACTTGAAGCTTTTAAACAGGTATACTTATTTCTATTTTATGTCTTTTCACTTATTTCTTATTTATATATCGATTCGAATTTGGCTATATTACTTCTGATTGATTATTGTTTTGTGTAACTTAAATTAGTTTAGATAGTACTATATAGTTAAGATAATAATACATTATTAAATGATAGCCGTAGATAATATAGTTTAGATAATATTATTGAATAAATAATATTTTAGTTTACCTCTTAAGGTTCATAAATCGTATAAAAAGGTATATATTTTAATTACAGTGCTTGATTTTTTAATCCTAAAATTTTCATTAATAAGCAAGGCATTAAAAAAAATTACACTGAATATTATTTTAAATTAAATGCTCCCTCTTGAATAATTTATGCATGCATATTTAAGTAAACTATCTACTTAAATTTTAGTCAGTAAAGATGGTTCGGAGTGGAGAGAATCAAAGTTAAAAAAAAATTGTTTTCTTTGCACCGACGTTTCGACCTAAGTTTTTAGCCGTCATCACGGCTACTTGTCCGAAATCTTGGAAACAAGGGATTGTTTAAATTAAAATTTAAAACTTTAATAAATGAACACAACTTTTGATCCGTCCTTTAAATTACAATATTTCTAGGTCAAGCATCTGCTGCGAATTCAGGATTTAATTTTTTTATTTGTTCTACCAATGGGTAGTTTCTGTTCATGTTGTACATGTCATGTTACCAATGTCACATTTACTTGTTGTATTTTTAATATAATACAGTTTTAAATTTCATTAAAAAAAAAAAAAAAATAGGAGATTTCAGCCCTAAAATTTCTTTTTTTTAAAATGTATATAACTGTAATTATTGTACGTTAGAAGAAAAATAAGGAAACTAGCTACCTACATGAAATAATGTTTAAGTTCTTCTTAAAGCTCTATAAAAAAATAAATAATAAATAATAATAAAATGGAATTACTTAACTGCATTACTTTTGGATTCTTTAGCTTATAAGAATCAATGAAAAAAAAAATCATTTTTCGATTTTCAGCCTGAAAGCTCCTCCTCCGTAGATACGTCAGAGTGAATCATTAAAATCCTGAATTATTTAAATGCATTTTAGTCGTGGTTTCACCTTGAGACAATTAATTTATAATATTATTTGTTATGCACCTTTTATTTGGATTATGGACTAATCCGATGATTATCCGTTTGTCTATACTTGAATATTCATTGCTTCTCTTATTTCATTTTCCAGACAACCGATTCTTCTGCGATAGTTCTTTATCAATGTGTTTGAGTTGTGTTTTAAGGAACATAAGGATAACTGATTAAAGTAGTTCTTACATGAATTACACATATTATAATTATGTTTTAGCCCTGAATGGGATGTTGATCTTACGAATTTCTATTTCGTTAAAATTATATGAATTATCAAGGAGTAAAAAGAAAACAAATTAAACAATTTTATAAAGAAATTAGGTAGGAGGGCGCAAAACACTTTCTGGAAGTACATTAGCCACAAATGAATTTACGTGGGCGTTAAGTTTGAATTTTGTTTTTTAACTGTTCTTAAAAACAAAAATACACTGGTATTAAAATAAAGTAATTTAATATTTCTCATTTGTTTATGAAACCAATTTGACATTTAAATCAATTATTCACATTATGAGAAATAGCTTATTGTATCAATAAGTTCAGTATATCTCCAACCCGTGGGAACATACAAAAACCTCAAGTAGTACAGAAAAAGAGTATCAAGTAGAGGCTTTTTTTTTTTTTTTGTTAGCCATTGTGCTATAAAATGCATTTTTGACGTTTAGGAAGTTTCGAAATCAGATAACGTTTTTCTAGAATAGCTCCGGAAAAATCTTAATGGTAAACCACTACTGTCAACTCACAATTTTAAATCAGCGGATATGAGTTAGATGTAATTAAGTAATTGCTTGCTGGTCCAAAGACTACCAGTGAAAACAATTAAAATTAAGTTTTTATTAAAACATTCATTGTAACTTGCAATATAATAATTTATTAATACTGCTATCTTATTTATTAATACTTCTTAATAATACTAAAAACGTTGTTCTGTAACATATTTTAAAACTTGATTGTGATATGGTTTTCATTTATTCAATATAAAATTTTCTTTTGTCAGTGTACTAAAAGTTTCTAACTAGCAGCACGGCGAAATTATTAAATAAAATTCATAATACTCCAATCATCAAAGATAATTATATATGTTGATGAATGAAATAGAAACATAAAACATAGAAATATATTAAAGGTCAATATTTTATAATCCCTTTAATTTTGTATTTAATGTAATACATATTTTTATTTTTAATTATATTTAATCATTTGAAATTTTCGCGGCGTACTAAAAGCACTCGAAGAGCTATTGCTGCTATTTTAGTCATGCTCGTCCTAATATTAAAATCGGTCGAATTAGACTTCGACCCATAGAGCAATGTTAAATTTTATTGTGAATTTTCTGCGGTTAAAAAGTCCTATAGTTCAATTTTTTCCTTGTTTTCCTGAAGCTGTTCTAATAATTTGAATAGTTTTTTCTATATAAAGAATGAACGTTTAGGAATATTTTAAATGTTGCTATAAAGAAACATTTGTGCTCTTTTATTGTTTCAGGAAATCGGCTGGCAGGAAAGAGCTCCTCGTTCGCTTTCCAACGATTACGAATCTAATGCCATCGAAGTCCTTAAATCGACGGCTACGCCTTCTCCGACTACCGCAACTGTCCGCGATCTTTTCATCAGTATCAAAACAACAGTGCATTACCATCAAGCGAGGCTTCCTATAATCCTGAAAACATGGTTTCAGCTGGCACCAGAACAGGTAAGAGTTTATGATCATACAAATTAATGATTTGTCATTGACTGAAAGAAAATAAGAAGTGTCCAAGTTGAGATAAATGTATTGTAAATTATACTTGTTAAAGTTGTTACTTCAGAGTTTTGCGATAATGTTCTGTTCTTTCTATTTTGCGATAATGTTCTGTTCTTTCTATTCTTTCATATGACTAATTGTAGTTTAAGTTTCATTTATACTGCAACAGATATTTGTGGTCAAACATGAGATCGGCGCTTCTTGCTTCAGAATCCGCTGGGATTCAAATCCGCTTCGCAAAAGGTAAACGCCGAGTATCAACCTGTTTTGTGTCCTAATCTTGACTTTATAAGAGTGTTTAAAGTAAAAAAAACGTAAAATCAAATTATAGAGAAGAATGGGAGGATCAGTCAAAATAAAATATAGTAAAAATAAATAATTATATTTATTTAAAATATAAGAATTATATTTATTTATTTTTACTATTTTTTATTTTGACTTATCACCCCCAACATCCTTCTCTTCAATTATTCACTACAGTCAACCATCAATCCGCAATTAACTTCAAAAGAAATATTCATGCATCGATGAATCAACGGAAAACGTAAAATTTATTTCATTGTTCCTTTAAAATTGTCGATCGCAGTGGTAGAGTGATTTGATATCTAGCTTATTTGGTAAACACAAGCCAAGAAATTTCCCTCTTTTGTACCGATGTTCTCTCTCTTGGTTCCTTCAACATTCAATAATGGCCAGAGGTAAGAGAACCTTAAGAGACACATAATCTAATACAAACTTGATTGTTCATCGACACAGAGCTGCTTGCTGATAAAAATTATAAAATAACACTTACCGCTACTGAATAATGAAAGTCATGGGATATAAGTTAATCAATTAAAACAGCATCACACTTTTCACGTTATCACTTTTTAACAGAACTACTTGATTGAATTTCATTGGACGAGATTAATTGGCCTTGTTCAAAGGGGTGAGGGGATGTTGACTAAGGCCAAGGGGAAAGGCTGTAATTGAGTTGATGTTTGGAAAAGATAAATCTCCAGGAATGAAGCCTGCGGATATTTCAAGGAAATATAAGTTTTTATCAAGGTTGAGGACACTAATTGAACTTTCAGAAAATTTGTTAAAATGGTAAAATCATGGACTGGGGACACCCATAGGAGAAAAGTTTTTTTTTTTATGTTTATGACTGATTACCACTAGCGGATCCAGGATATAATTTTTTTTGGGGAGAGGCTTCAGGCCGATAGGTTTTTGATACTTGAAGTCCTATTAAATTTGATTACACGAACAATAACAAATAAATATTTTTTTCCATAAAATAGTGTTACATTTTACCATTTTGGGGGAGCTTCAGCTCAAAAGTACCTCCCCCTCCCCGTAGATCCTCCTGTGCTGATTACCGACGGACAAGTCATATGTATATGTAATTGCCATGTGCATAATAGAAAAAGGAGTGTATATATCCTAGAACTGGTTTCAACTTAAACAAAAAATATTGATTAGAAAATTCAAAAACAGCCTGGGATGATAATTTGCTGAATTCCCATGAAATTATCTACATATGAAAAAAACAAAACAAAAACATATGACAAATTACATTGTACAAAACCAGCACAACACTGACTTTAAAAAATTTACAAAGATACAAGTTACACAATTACAGGTAAGAATAATTTATTGCTTTTAGAAAAAACGTTTTTTCTTCTTTCCTTATAGCCTTTGGTAGGGTTTAACCGCCCTTTTATTGTGTCATTGAGGTAAGAATAATTTATTGCTTTTAGATAACACGTTTTATTTTATTTTACGTACAACCTTTGGTAGGGTTCAACCGTCATATTATTTTGCCATTCCATACTTTTATCGATGGTTTCGGAAAAAAGCATATATAAAACTAAATGAAGATTCTGGAACCCCTCCCTCATTACATTCAAATTTGATCTACCAGGCCGCTACAGCGACTTACATTGATGGATGTTGACAAATGTCGCACCATTTTCGGATCTTTTAGCTACCTCCGATATTAATGTCATGTTACATTTTCCTACATCCTCCCCCCATTCTCGTCACCCAATGCCCTTAAATTTAATGTTCTAGCCATTTTGAATCAAAGGTCATCCCTGACATTTCACTGATAACATTACTGAGCATTATGACGTCCCACTCCGTTACGTTGAATGGTGTGTTGTTCAATGGTTCCTATTAGCCTCTTTTATTTATGTTTGTACTTGAAGTATTACAGTGTGATCAAATGGAATAATATGAATTATATGTACAGTATATTTATATATGTAGTGTTGATTTTTGCTATTCACCCGCTTAAGAAAAAAAAAGCTCCTCATATAATCCATCTAGGCAGACGTTATTCTCCGATAAATGTTTATGGTTCTATTTATAAGTTAACCATCTTAAGTATTTGAATAACATGACAGCATTCATAAAATATTAAAAATTTCCTCTTGATCAGAAACATTATATTTTAGAAGTTGAAGATGTTATCCTATTTCGTGGGGTTGGAAGAAGAATTGGTCTACTTTCTTGTAGCCGAAATTGTTGTTTTCTTTTCCATTTTCGTGATGCGAAGCCTACTGAAACCTGACGACACTGTTTTGAAGGCTTTATGGCAAAGGGAGGATGAAGATGAAGTATTTTATGATGCTCTGAGCTGTAAGAAGATATAAACACCTTATTGTAACAGGAATAATACAAGTTTCAATATGAGATGTCTTATTGTCTGATATTTCTGTTTTAATATAAAGCTTTAAATTGTGATGTTTTATAACAGGGGTGTCCCCTCCCCATGGTCGATGGCGCAAGATCTTAATCCCGTCTCATCCTCCTCTTCCCAAGATATTTGATTGCTCATATTTTATTAAAAACAGATCAAGCGAAGATAGAATTTGAAAAATCGTACATCATATACAATTACACTTGCTGCTGTCTGTTCCATGTTTTTTCCTTGTCCCTTAGTATGAAACTTTTCAAAAAGTCAAAAACATTCCGCCTCAAAAATTTGTATGGCGCCACTTGCGTCACGACCCCCATTCTGAGCACCCCTGATTTTAACGCATTGATCCACGGGTAGATCTACGGGAGGAAAGGGGGAAGGCTTACAGGCTGAAGCGTCCCCCTTCCTTCCCTCCTCCCCCCAACAAATGATAAAATATAATTATATCTTATGAAAAAAATATTTAGTAATTACCTCTAAAAGTATTATTGTTCGTGTTATTACATTTAATAGTACTAAAACCGCCAGACGTTTCCGACTACTCCAGCACTTACTAGACAAACGCTCTAAACTGTCAACTATTTACAAAAGACTCATATATATTACTTGAAGAATGCTGTCAAAACTGGATGATTAAAATAAATCCCATCAAATTACCTTCACCCTTCGTCGTAAACCTACGACTTCCTGTCCTACAGTATCCTTTAACAATACCCCACTTATCCATGTTCAAAAAATTTGATACCTAGGACTCCACCTGGACAGATGACTTGCTTGGAATCCTCATACCAGACTGAAACGACTAGAAACTGCTCTACGTTTTCGGCTATTGCAGCACTTACAAGACAAACGCTCTAAACTGCCAACTATTTACAAAAGACTCATATATATTACTACAATAAGGCCTATTTGGACTTACGGGATCGAGCTTTGGGGCTCTTCTAAACCATTAAATTCCTCTCGTATCCAATCCCTACAATCCAAAATCCTTAATGCTTCCTACTTTGTCACAAATAAAATCATCCATAATGACCTTAATGTACCATATGTTTCCGATTTAGCTCAATCCAGATACCTATCCTTCCATAATAAACTTCTGAACCATCCGAATCCTCTCGTCTCCAACCTTGCTTCCTCTTCTATTCCTGATAACCCTCCGAGGCGTCTGAAAAGAAGATGGCCTCGGGACCTTCTGATATAGAAATATAATTGGGGTGCTGCCAATGGGTAGTTTCTCTTCATGTTGTACATGTCATATTACTTGTTCATATTTATTTTTAATTACAGTTGTAAATTTCGTTAATAAAAAAAAAAAAATAGTACTCAAAGAATCACTTAAATTCTATTTCTAAAAAAAAATCTTTCGGGCTAAGGACCCAAAAAATAAATCTTGGATCCGCTATTGCATTGATCTACTAGTTATACCGCCACTCTATTGAATTTTGAATGACTGAAATGATCTTTGGAAATAAACCTTAAACATAAAATATGATTTGTCCAGTTTAAACGATCCTGTTTATTAAAATTTGAGGTCAAGGGAGAATCCTGAAGGATTGAGGAGATGTTCCTTCTAATTTAAATGAAATATTCAACAACTCCTAGATCGCATTCAAGTCTCCATTATAAATATTTAATGTATATACCAGTTTGCTGAAGAGATCGGCTTTAGAATTTGGAGTTTTTCATGGAAAGGAACAAATGTTTAATAAGCCAATTCCACTATAAAGTATTTGTGAGTTCATAAAGACACTCACTCTCACACATAGATACGCACAAACCTAAAACTGTCAGATTAAATATGTATTAAGAGATTAAAATAGGTAAGAGATTAAAATTATATGTGGTTATCTCAACAGTAGTTTTAGGACGTGATAAATCGGTTTGCTCGTGTCGAGCGGTAGCAGTAGTATGCGGAGACCGTAGGCAGGTATTCTGTGGCACGAGCCGCATACCGATCCTCTCCTTTCCTCTGTTTCATTTTTTATTATAGACTTGCCTGGAATATAAAAAATGGAGGAGCCAATATTACTTATATTATATTTTACTAATAACAAAGGTAATTAAAAACAAGATAACGATCGTCAATTTCAACTTTAACAATACCAGCGACATTTCCTATAACCAGAAATGGACTTTTTGTATGAAAATAAAATGTAACAAAAAAAAAAAAAAAAAAAGGCGTGAGAGATCCTTCACTAAGGTTCTATTTTCGATTTGTTTTTAGTTGAGAAGAAATAAATAGAGATTTTTTTATTTGAAAAATAATACATTCTGCCGCATTGGAGGGCATTAATGTTAGGGCTACATTAAACATTCACACAATATATACATATAAATGATCTAAAATAGAGATAAAAGAAAAAGAGTTGTAGTAAGAAAATAAGAAAATTAACCTACATAGGCAAAAAAAAAAAATAAAATAAAAAAAAAAGCTAAATGAAATTGAAATATATAAAACACATTCACACCTATATACAATAGAAAGAGATTCATTGGCGTTAAATAGAGAAATAAAAGCTTTGCAAATTATTACCCAAAGGTTTATTATATTCAAATAGTTATAAGTTCGATAAGTATAGACTTTAACTAACACTTTGGAAAACATTTATACACATTGATTAGGATGTTTAAAAATATTTATTTAATAGTATATATCATACTGTATCTTTTTAATAAGCCACGTATATAATTATAAAAATTGTCAAACCAGAATTAGGACTCCTCTTAAAGACCAGAGGGATATAAATAAAAAAAAAAACGATGCAGCGCCTAAACCGATTTTAATGAAAGTTTCACCTTGAAGAACTTTAAATTGACGTATATAATAAACTTCACACAAAAGAAGCCGGAAAAAACACAAAGAGTATTAACTTGTTATGGTCATTTGAAAGTATACTAAATTACCTAATAAAAATAAATAAAATAAATCATTGAAGATCGGACGATTTGGTAAAAAGATATGTTGTTCCAAATATTCTAAAGCTGACCATTGTTCTGTCTTAAAGAAACTGTATGACGTATCTTTGTAATTGCTGATTTCGGTAAAAGTTTTTTTTATCTTTTAGGCAATTTACATGTCTTCAAAATATGTCCTGATCCAAAAAGTTCATCCTTTTTGAGTTATTGACAAATAAAGTATTTTATTAGTCAAAACTCCTTTTCTAGTCCTTTTTCGAGAATTTATGTTATATACATAAATTTATATTGTTTCATGGGAAATAATTTAGGAAAGTATTTATCAATACCACCGTTTTAGCGCTGTAGTCCATAGAGAAACAGATTTTTCCACCCCCATCTTGAAACGAAATGGCGCCTGTCGGTGAGACTCCCCAAAGGCACCTCTCCAACATAACCTTAATATATTTACAAAATTTTAACTTTTTTAGGAAGAGCTGTGGAGATGCACAATACTTTAAAAACGTTCTTACATGCCGAAATTTTTCCTAAGTTTAATAGTACTCTTCCGCCTGGGAACAAATTCTATTTACCGAATCTCAGCTTATTCGGCCAAACAGGGGCCGCTGGCAGAATTGCAGAATCGTGGGTTCCAAAATGGATAGAAACCACAACCCCGCCTTCCATTGATGACTTTCGATACAGTGCAAATAGTCTATTATTTCCGAAGGAAAATAGACAAAAAAAACTTTACCCCTTATGAGTAATAAATACTATTCTGTTTCGTCAAACGTGGATCGATTTTAGGATCAGGAAATTCTCCTGGGATTTAGCCATCTTCTATAAGTGGATATCCTTATTTAATTTTAATATTTAGGGTAAGAATGTGATGGTTGAGCATAATCTTATTCAAATCGCCTCCCTACAAAATCACCGGCATCAGAACAGTATTTCTTTACTAAGAACTGAACCCAAGACACTTCTTGGGGCTGAAGTAGTAATAATAATATGCTTTATTTATTCTGGAGAAAGTCCCTTTAGAATTAAATATTACAATTATGCAATTACAGAATTGTGGACTTTAGAGACTCAGAGCTATATAGAAAAGAATTACAAAATAAGCTAATGGACATAGAAAAAAAAATATACGTTAATTTTTAACTTTAATAACTTCAAAAAAAACAAAAAACAACTATAATAACGAACTAATAATTTATAAACATATTTAAAGAAACAGCTATTTACAATTCTATGGGAACTGAATGGATAGAATGTGATGGTATAGGCAGGATTTAAAGTTGGGGAGGGTATTAAATCAATGGATGTAGGTAGGGGTGGAGTTCTATACGGACGAGGATCGATCGACACCATCGAGGAACAAAGTCCCGGTTTGGTGGGTTGTTGTCAATAAATACGGCCATTGGATGATTTTGAAGAGGAGGAGTGCAAGGTAGGAAGGATAAAGCCACTTCAACTCTTCATAAAAACGGGAGATAAAAGCGTCCCTTACAATTATTTTATCTATGATAAAAAAATATAATGCTAATAATTATGGTATTATTTGATTCTGCGTTAAATACAGTTCAAATGAATAAATTTTAAAAATTCCAATTCAACAAATATTGATTTTATATGGAAAAGCCCAAGCACATAATCTCGTTTCAAGCTCAATTTTTCTACTAAACGTCGAGTATTTCTAAAGTTCAAATGACAATAATTCTGAAACATCTCTTTAGAATTGAGTAAAATTAAGTATTTTTTTTCTTATTTCTGTATTTACTTTGAATTTGTCAATTCCCAATAAAATCCGTGAGAAAGATTTTTGGCTCCTGGGTAAATTGGCATGGAATGACACAAAAACAAAATTCCAATTTTTCAACATGAATTTTTAAATTTTTTGGCTAAAATTGTAAGTTTTGAATAACCAGGAAACGTTATTTATTTTTTACAAACTGAATACTCCCAATCACTCAAATTTCAAGTCTCCTAAAGATGATTAATTTTTAATATGAACCTGCGAGTTATTGCTACGGTTTAACAAAATCAGTATCGTGTGTTTCCATATAACACTTTGTTTGTTTTTTTAACGTTTAAATTTAAAGTTTCTTTTTTATTTATAAGAAAGTGAATTTTTAAATTTAAAGTT